GAGTGGGTTTATTGGGGATTCGATACTTGATTGCAGACTCTGGCTTTTTAGCGACGCTGACTTCGCAGGTGAGTACGATTCAAAATCTACTACTGGATGTGCTTTGTTTCTGGTGGGCCCGAACACGTACTATCCCATCAACGCCTTCAGTAAGAAACAAACGTCCATAACAATGAGCTCTACCGAGTCTGAAGTGGTGTCGGCTAATCAGGGTGTACGTGCCCAAGGTCTTCCAAGCCTCAGCCTCTGGTACTTCCTTTGGCGCGGCAAAGCCGACCGCAAGGTTGGGCCGAGGGCTGAGATGAAGTCTACGAGCAACCCTGTTGTGGCACGCATAGACCCTGAACTCGATGAGATTCGGTATGGCACTACCAGACCCGATGGCATGTCTATTGCAGATATCAATGGTTTGCACGTCCAGCTTCCCAAATGTTTTCAGATTAGGCATTTGGAAGATAACCAAGCGACCATTACTCTGCTGTTATCAGGGCATGCAGGTGTGCTTCGACACACAGATCGCACACAAAAGGTTAGCTTCGGATGGCTCCGTCAGCAATATGAAGAAGGACATTTTCGCCTCCTCAATGTTGACACCAGCGAGCAAGTTGCAGACGTGTTCACAAAGCCTTTTACGGAGCGAACAAAATGGATACATGCGTTGAAGCTCATTGCTCACACCTACAAGTCGGTCGACCCTCAAGCCGGAAGAAATTCCGTGTCGAAATCTGTTCCCGCAGCTCCGAAGTCGGTGTGTATTCCCACAGATCAACTGGAACATGTTGCAAAACTGCTTCGCCGAGCTGATCGATATGATTTCGAAGATTTCGAGCAGGTCGCCGAAATGATGTACGACAACCTTCGTGTGTCGAGCTCAAGGCTTCGCAGTGTCGTTCTTCGGTTGAGCCTGCTGTACCGACTCTTTCTGTGCTAGCTGGCTCTCTCCAAGTGGTCAGCAGCATCGAGGCATTAGGAACCATGTCGCGATTGGTCGCCCATGGTGCAGGCTACTCCTGCGATACTGGCATGGAGGGCCGACCTTTGGCACTGCAAGGACATCTCAACATGCTCGTCAACGCCGGACTGAGCGTGGAGTACTTGCAGCTCCAGGCGGGGAAGGAGTATGACGCGCTCCTCAAGTCCTATGAGGTCTTCCCCCCACAGACCATCGCCAGCCTCAGCCTCAATGACCCCGAGATTCCAACGCCGAATCTGCTCAAGCTAGCTCGCATCTCAAATGAGGGTCTCAGCAAGCTCCAGCCAACCGAAAGGTTGCGCCGAAGTCGCTTTCTGCTAGTGGTGACGGACTCAGTCACATCCCTTGGACGACAGAATACCAAGGGGAAGTGGAAATTCTCCATTCCCGAAGAGGAAATCTTCATGGCAGCACTGACCCTCAGGTACACGAGCGATAAACTCCACATGTGTTGGGGCAAGACGCTTTCATGGCTCACTTGGCAGGTGCAGGAGGAGATCCAGGCAATCCGTGCCAAGTATGGGTCGGAGTGCGAGATCGATGTGATCGTTTGGTGGTCAGGAAATGAAGTTGCTGGACGACGAGGATGCATCCCCACGCGGCTCGCCCCGGGCGCGGCATATTCAACCTCCCAGACCTCGGCAGAAGATGTTGCGAGGAAGGTGAGGCGCTGCGCCGATGCACTAGCCACCCTCGCGGGTGAGCCGCACATCGGGTTTGTCCGCATCGTCGGCAACGTTGACCACGAGACTTACAACTTGCATCCCGCATACAACGAATTCATCTCCAAGATGTTCCATGAGTTCACAAGTCGCGGACTGCAAGTTCAAACGGCCACATCCCAGGCAATGAAGCTGTCCTATTACGATGATTTTCATCTTTGGGATACCCCCGAAAACCGCAAACAGATCCAAGATTACATCTACACCACGGCGCTCCTTGGCGACCTGGAAAAGGAAGCGTCACGTTTTGCAGATGTTCTGGATCGACTAGGAGATCTTTACCCCTACCTAGAGGTGGAAGGCGGCTACAGGATGGACAGTACAGCAGGTCGTGAAGCCCTACGCCTCTACAAGGAGGTGGTTGAAAGTGGCAGAAACGACCTGAAGGTCCACAAGATTAAGGCGCCTGTGCCCGTGAAGATCAGCACGGAAGACACCTGGTGGGAGGTCCCCGACGCTAATACTGCGCATGAACCAGTTGCCGCACCCGCTCAGCAAGACAAAACGATCGCCCGATCCGAGGTGGAGTATCCTGTGGTTTCGGACGTGTCGGAGATCGCTGAGGTCAAGGATGAGGTCGTCCAGGCCGAGTCAGAGAAGGCTGAATACCTTCCTCTGAACGAGGTCGTGTTCGCCGATGAAGGGGATTATCGACCTCCCCTGGCGTCAGATGGCCGGGCAACAAGCGCAGCTACCCGAAAGGGTAAGTCGTCGGGGCAAAGTGAGGATGTCTACGCCCGCGAGATGTACCAGGACGCATCCAAAACCCATGGTGCGGAGGAAAGCCAGGAGCCGGATCTCCCGATGACCGGATACTGGTACAACGGGACGCTCCACGACCTCGAGCCCCTGCCAAGTGCCGATCTCCGCAAGTATGAACAGCGGGTGAACTTTAGGCACGGCGACCTCAAGCTGCTCACCATGCTCTTGAGGGGGCACCAGAACGACTGGTATGGGCTGGACTTCGACATCGCCATGTGGACGGATGTCGATAAGCTCCTGGATCGTTTCAATGAAGCAACTCGTCGAAAATGGGGCGTAAGACAGCTGCTGCAGGTGACCGCGCAGGACAAAAAGAGGAGGTTCGAGATTCTTGGGATCCGGCATGAGATCAGCAACAGTCTGAATCTTTCCCTCTTCCCTGTGCGGGTCAGGGCAGTCACCGGTCACTCGGAGAAAGTGATGCGCATCGAGTCAGACGAGTTCCTTGCCCGGAGGTTTCTCACCAATGAAAATTTGGATGTCGCTCCACAGGTCATATACCACCGCACGGACGCGAAGAGCGTGGAGTCGATTTTGAAATCCGGGATCAAGGTCGCTGGCGGCAGAAAGGGCGGGCGTGCCCATGCTTACTTCTCACCTACCACCCTCAAGGACGAGAAGTACACCTCTGGACTCAGGTCAACGCAGCCGTTCCAGATTGCGGTGAATCTGCATGAAGCTCTCCGAGATGGCCTCGTCTTCTTTGAGAACAGTACCTGCGGGATTTTGACCCGTGCAGTCGTTAACCCTCGGTATATCCTTTCATGTGTGGACACCACCACGAACAAGGTGATTTACGCAAGAACAGGAGAGGCCCAGTCTGCAGCCACCCGCGAGGGTGAGCCGGATACTGTTGACCAAGCTTCATCGAGCTCAACAGTCAAAGCCTTGGCGTCAAGGGCTGTCCCTGAAGACCAGCCCAAGCGAATCAAGGGCACTGTTGGCGCCTTCCTTGAGGCAAAGAAGGCGAGGACCGACGCTGCTGCGCTGGAACCCATTGCAGAGCAAGATGAGGGCATCGATGTCTCGAAAGACGAGGCATCGATGGATGACCAACCGCAGCCTGCACAGGAGATATCCGACACGGAAGAGGCAGAGAGCGATAGCGAAGCCCCATATGGGATCTATCCATGCTCGGCCTGCCAGCGCATCGTCCTGCTTGGGCAGCGCTTTTGCATGACATGCGGTGAGAACCAGTTTCCGGAGTCCAGCAAGGCAAGCCGCCAGTACACTTCGTTCCAGCAAAACCGCCGTACCACACTCCTCAAGCTGACGTACAACGCTCGGAATGAGGATCTCCTGGGACACCTCCGTGGTATCGCAGAAAAGTTTAGCAAACAGCGGGGCTCAGTCTCCCTGGATGCGCTGATCATACGCGATGCCAAAGACAAGTTCCAACGAGCGAGGAAGCTCAAGTTCGACTCCATCGCTGACCGGTTGGAACGGGATGCCACCTACTTCCTGCAGATGATGAGGAACGGAATCACGGTTCAGGATGCGTGCCGAATGGACCTCCTGGTGAAGGCCGTGCTCCCGGACCCAGGCCGCACGGAAGAGCAGCGGCTTCTGCAGGCGGGGTCGAACTACCTCAGTGGAGCTTCCCGCAAGGGAATGCCGGGCAAGTTGGTTTACTATGGCGATGCGCCGATGGATGGCCTAAAGTCGGCTGGACTGATTGACCAGTTCTCCGAGAACCCCATCGGGATGGCCTACGGCGGCGCATTCATCGGCTTCAGCTTCTATGCCGATATCGCCACCCGCTTGTCCGGTGCTCGCACAATCTACAGCTTCAACGGCATTGTGGAACTCAAGCATGAAACGCCGGAAGGCATGATTGCCGAGCTGCAAATGCTAGCAGCCGAATGCATCCACTCTGCCGAGGAGCAGGAGAGGATCACCGCCTATCACGCCGCCAAGAATCGAGAGAGACGGCGCAGCAGCGAATGGAGACTGCCACGACTGCTCGTCCATCGACACAGAGCGCCTCATCAAGGGACACAGCTGTTCACGGAGCACCCTGGCACCAAGGGCAAGAACAGTGGTGGTCAGATCGTGAATGGCGCGAGTGGCGTGAGTGGCGTGAGCCAGCTAGTCAGGGTTGGGGCTCATCCCGCTGGAGCAATCAGCGCGGATCGCAGTGGTGGAGCCGCTGAATGCCCATTTTGTATGCACAATAGCTCAAGTTTTGCTTTTCCCTTCACCTTTGCTTCGGTCATAGCGGGTGGGACAACACGGGCCACCCGAAAGGGTGTGTCGCAATCCTCTGTCCACCTTAGCTTGTGCCAAGCACGGTGAGGGGGGTGTAGTTTCTCATGTAGGAATAACACTCCTTTTGCGAGCTGTGCATAACATCACTCTACCCTCGACTGTGGCTCAAGTTGCCGATAAAAAGAGGCGTACTTAACGGTTTACATATTCCCTCATGTGCTGACCTGTAAACTTCACGTCTGCGTTTCTCTGCGTTACCGTAAACCCAGTCAACTTCCGTTGGCGACGTTGGGGTCCCAGCACGGAGCTTCCATGTCAGCCAAAGCACCACGAAGGAGACGTTCGACAAAATGGCGCTGGAGGCGCCTTCTTCGCACCCCCTCCTCTCACCCCCCTTCGCCCTCTCACAAAAAACAGCTTCCTCATAAATCCTTTCTGCTACTTCCCCCCCAAATAAGCATCCCCCTGGCACGTAGTTTTTAAGTCCTTTTTTTGGGTGTGTGTTTTCTTTCTCCCTATGTTTCTCAAGAAGTTCTTCCTGCCTCAATTCTCAACCCCAATTCTGAACCCCAATGGAGCTCCCGAAGATGCTCTGCTCCGCCGGCGAGATCCCCTCACAGCTCTGTGGCGGAGGCTCGCGCAGGGGTTGAGTTTCTTCGGGAGGGAAAAGAGAGGGTCCTGCATAGGTGTGTTTCTTTAAAAACTTCATGCGAAGCAGCTATCATATGATACTCACCACACACGCGCGCGCGCACACACACACACACACACATACATACATACATACATACATACATACATACGTACATACATATTATGTCGGCGTAGACCCCAAACAGTGAGGAGGGCCAGAAAAGGCCAAAGAAGGCCAGAAGAGCACCGACACTCCCGGGGACAAAAGTTCGTGGGGGGCCGAATTCCCTTGGGGGTCAAAAAGACGCCAACCACTGGGGGATTCGGCTTTGCACGCGTGTGGAACTTGGGAGCCAAAAGACCCAGCTGATGCTCATCATGCTCAACCCCAAAATCGCTACCCCATAATACTAACCCCCGGCACCCAGCCGCAGGGTTGACCCTAAACCCGAGGCCACGAGAGGCCGGAATTCGCGCGAAACCACAGCGGGAGCATCGAAATGCAACCGAAATCGCGCGAAACCACAGCAGGAGCATCGAAACGCAACGGAATTCGCGAGAAACCACAGCGGGAGCGTCGAAAAAAAGGCCCCGTCTCACCGCGCGCGCCGTTGCGGTCGGCAACCTAAGTGGCCCCCCCCCCAGAAGAGGCCCGAAGAGGCCACGAGAGGCCGGAATTCGCGCGAAACGACAGCGGGAGCATCGAAATGCAACGGAATTCGCGCGAAACCACAGCGGGAGCATCGAAATGCAACGGAATTCGCGCGAAACCACAGCGGCAGCATCGCAACGGAATTCGCGCGAAACCACAGCGGGAGCATCGAAACCAAGGCCCCGTCCCACCGCGCGCGCCGTTGCGGTCGGCAACCTAAGTGGCCCCCCCAGAAGAGCCCTGAAGAGGCCACGAGAGGCCGGAATTCGCGCGAAACCACAGGGGGAGCATCGAAATGCAACGGAATTCGCGCGCAACCACAGCGGGAGCATCGAAACGCAACGGAATTCGCGCGAAACCACAGCGGGAGCGTCGAAACCGAGGCCCCGTCCCACCGCCGCGCGCGCCGTTGCGGTCAGCAACCAATTCCTTTACCCTGAACGTAAGAACCCCATTGTGCAAGCACTGCTCGGGGAACATACATACATACATACATACATACATACATACATACATACATACATACATACATACATACATGTACGTATATATATATATATATAGTTGCAATGAATATATCATGTATACATATGCGTCGTGCTGTCGCGGAGCCTTTAAAAAAAAACAAATTGCTTCCTGTAGCCGCCGCTCAGAGGCTCTTCCTTGAGCGCGGCCTCGGATGCCATGGCTGCCTTGCAGAGCAGCCTGGCCGTGCCTGGTCTTGGCATTTTCAGGGGCTTTCCTACAGACTCCGGGATGCGGCGGGACATGACGCATGGCGTGATGCGACGTGTCAGAGCCCAAGCTCAGGACCCCTCGAAAGCGTTGAGCCAGCTTGCGGGCAACGGCATCTTCCCAACACCGACGACTGCCTCTAGTCTAATTAAGAAAATATGTTGAAGGTACTCCTGAGGGCATGTGCAAAGAAAAGGGTGACAAATGACTGGATGCGACTGGTATTTGTTGTAGGTTTTGTGGGAACTGTAGCTGTAGGGCAGTGTAGGGCGATGTGAAACTGTGACATGATGGGTTGACGTTGCCAGATGTCAACATGCCCTAAGCATCTCCGTCAGCCACAGCAGAAGAGATTGCACACGGCAGCCATGCTTTACTGCAACTGATCGTCAGGTGTTGAGCCAAGCCACCAGCTACCTCACACCAGCATCTGGGCTCATCACTCATCACGAAAGATAGCCCCTTGCAGTGTTGCGGCAGCTGTCATTTACAAATCTCCGGCCTTATCTGGTTAATTCATCGATAGCGCAAGGCGCAACAAATTGAGTTCACCAATAATATGGTCACCCATGTGCTGCTTGATTTAAGTGGGGGGGCCTCCCACCAATTCAGGCCCTGCACATGGCCTCATATGGCTTCTTGCTCTTCAGGTTACACTGACATGTCACAATATCCGAGTTCATCTTGTCCATATGCAGCAGGTGTCGTTGTAGATGCGCTGAAAGATTATAAGAGAGTCGCCTAGCTTTCCGGCCCCGATCTCGAGTGTATCCCTGCAGTACCATCGTGCAGGGACAGCCCATCAGCTCAGGTGTGCACCAGTTCCTGCAGCGCACCAAATACGTTTCAGACTCAGCATCATGCTTTGCATGGACTCTTGCAATGAGATTGGAGACCGCCTTAGTATAGTTAGTACAGGTAGCACATGTGTACCAACCGGCACTGGAGTGTACCGAGGGTCCCCCCCTTCTGCTCTTGTTCTGATGACCCATTGATTGGGAAATTGCATTTGAAAATCCACTCAGCACCAGAACCGCCAAGCTACCCTGGAGATTCGATGACAGCGTTGCCGAGGAATCGCACGTTCGTGTACAGTGCACCCCCCGGAGAAACTTGGCATCAACGTGTGAAGGGGCCATTCACCTGACGAAGTCCCCACTCCCCATCTCTATCAGTCAGGTCCAAATGCCCGGAAGTAGCATGAGTATGTCAGATTGTTTTTATAACATGTCATAGTACAGAAAAAACTCAGGCGCCGTGGGCAGCTGCTTGGCAGCGCTTCGCCGCTTCCACAGCGGCTGCGGGGCTAAGGCGATGGGGCGGAGAGAGTGTGGGATGGAGATGGCTGGAGTGTGGAGGGGCTGGACCCGGAGGCTGTGGCCTTTGAATCTTAGCAAACATGAAGGTGCATCATGAGAAGACATGAGAAGGTCAGTGGCAAGATTGCAAAAGCATTCTTCGATGTGTTTCCCGGCCTTCAAGGCTGGAGTTCCCTGCGTGGAGTTCCGAGCACTGCCCGTATGACGCCCGGTACTGCGCGACTAGGCTTACAGAGCCTTTGTTTAGAGCTGTCAATGTAGAATTCAGGGGCTTGATGTCTCGGCTCGCCCAACTTGGCTGCCCAATCAGGTTTTCAGCCAGCCGGAGGGATTGGGAGGGCAGACATTTCCGAATTTCCCAAGCATGTGATTCTGGAGTCCAGCAGTTTTGGTGTCCAGGTGCCATTTCCTGGCCTGAGCAGCTTGGCTGGTCGAGACTCATGTGGCCCTTCGGGCGAAGCCAGTGAAGGTAGTCATTACACAAAGTACCAGCAACATGGGCATGGACATGAATATCCCGGAATGTTCCCAATGAGTCCTGGGATGCTTCCCGAAGGCCTGCAGGAGGGTCCTGACGACATCTGCCTGCCAGAGTTGGACTCCACCTTGGTGTCTCAGATTGGCCAGTCGTTGCCAGGCTGCCTTAAGTGGCCACAAAAGTGGCACCTTTTTTTGGTGCCCCTTTTTGGTGCCTCTTAAGTGGGGCCTTAGGTGTGAAGTCCCTCGAAGCCCAAGGCTGACACAGCAGCTCGATGCCTTGGCTTCGCTCAACATCACCCAGGGCGTCCTGCAAGATGTACAGCAGGCGGATTGCAGATGATGGCATGACCGTGCTGCGCAATGTGGCAATGCGGCGGGGGGGGGGGGGGGGGCGGAGGGGCGACACCATGCTGCTTCATAAGAGTGCGGTGCATGACTGCCTATGCGCGCTATGTCTCGGCGACGATCAGTGTTAACGCCGCACACGGACTTTAGTTCTCTCTCCATCCTCTCATGTCCTCTCATGTGCGTTCTCTCTCTCTCTCTCTCTTGAATTCTGTCGGTCTCAATTTGTGTGCTTTGAGTCTGCCGGCTCGCTGCTGGTGACCTGGGATGCCTTTGGTGTGGTCGCGTTTGCGGCCCTGATCTTCAGCAACCTGGAGCAAACGTGCTTAGCAGAACATGCCTACGCCTAGGAGAATGCTTCCAAAATGTGATCTGCACACCATCTCAGTGCATCTCAGTACGAGGCGTGGTCTACCTTACTCTTGTCCGCTTCTTCGCAAAGCCGGTGGCCACTTGCACAGCTCCACCAAGTTACAGAGAACACGGAGTTCGACTGCGGACTTCATGTAAGTCAGTACTTGATGCGCAAGTCATTGCGCAGCATTGCGGCATGTTGTGGTGCCCCAGTGCTTTCTTGAAGCCTCGAGGTGTGGCTCTCGATTCTTCTGGTCTGGGCGGGCTTCCTCACTGCTGGCACGCTGGCGGTGCTGTATGCCTCGCAGTGCCTGGAGGTGAGGGGAATTGGGTAATTGGTACTGTGGCACTCAGCATTCCAGACATGGCAGCTCATGTCAGAAAGCCTGCAGGCCGGCTTGCTTCAACCTGCAGCAGAGACCCTGCTCTTGCTCCAGAATGCCACAGGCGAGGCTGTGTAGAGGCTCTTCGGCAGAGGCCTCGGCCCACCCACGCTGTTTATTGTTGTTTCAGGTCTGGGCAATGTGCACAATGCTTCGGCGCCGTCGGGCGGTTGCCAGGAGTCGAAGTATGTCGAAGTGCCCTGTGATGAACATGCCACTTGCTTCGCTTGTCTTGATGTGTTAACCTTACTGCAGGAGTTGGGTGGCTACGTGGTCAAAGATGAGATCCTGCGAACAAGCCTGCAGGTTATCGGCTGCTCGGCCGACTGCTGATTGTGTGGTAGAGGGAACATGCGCGGATGGCCGGTCTGAGGCTACACTCTACTTGGATTTGGTGCCGTCTGGCTGCTGTTGGTGGCATGCTTGCGTCGCCTCGTTGCATTCTGCACCACATGCAAAACATCATGCAACTTGAAGCCTGGAGGGTCAGTGGAGCAGAAGGTTGCTGCTGTGCTCGCCGAGGCAACCGGATCCAGCTTGCCATCGTTCTCGGCTGAGTCTCCTTTTGGTGATTCTGCGCATAGGGGATTAAGGCACTGCTCCTAGCTTGGCCTACGCCCCACGAGGCGGTGAATGAAGTGGCCGCGAAGTTCGTAGTCCACCATCCCCAAATGCGACTTACCCTGACTTGGCACCCTCCTCCCAACATATTTTCCTTCTGTTTTGCAACTCTGTAACTCTTGTCCCCACTTCGGTGCCTTCCTGGCATTTGGCACACCATTCCACCAAAGGATCGGGATCCCCCTCTTCCAGTTCTTGCTGGTCGTGGCCTGGCTCGTGGTGCGGCTCCAAGTCGGATTTTTACGACTCTGTCACCCTACTGAACCCTGTTTAAGCCCTATGTTTGCCCTATTTTTTGCTTTAATAATTTAAGATGAAGACTTGAAGGTGTGGAAGGAGCCAACAAAAGAGCATCTCAGAGTAGAGAATGCAAGCATGTTGCGCGCTGTGAAGGTTTGGCTCGTTTGTGCCGCACTCATCGTCGCTGGGGTGCCCCAAGACTACGTGCCGAGCCAGGCTGCAGAATATGGAAGAAAGTAGTTATTATCATTGTAAACGCTTACGCTGGCCGCCTCGCCAGCCGGTCCAGCCCGATGCCGGAGAGCACCCAGAGGGCAGCCAAGGGCGAAGGCTCTGGAGAAGGGGCGTGGTCTCTGTGGGATAATGCCCACAGCGCGGAACCCCCATCGGATTGCGGCTCCTTTCGGGGCGGGTCTCACAAGGGACGGGCTGGACCGCAATTTACAGGTGGAGGCGACGAGGCGAATTCTGTAAGTCGACCTCTAAAGCCCAGACCCAGCGGGGAGTGCGAGAATCTGCTGCCTTAATGCTTGCTCTTGCAGCCTGAAATAAAAAAACGCTGGCAGACCCGAGCTTGGCCAAAACATTTTGCCAAATTCTTCGAGAACCCCCTCTGTTCCCACCCTCTTCTCACCTTCGCAAGAGAGAACTGTTCTCACACCCCCCTGGAGGCCTTTGCCACCGAGGTGGAGGCTGCTGGAAATGCGACGATGCCGGGTGCCTGCACTGACATGGTGCCCGCAGGTGCGCTGTGCTAGTGCAGCGCAGTACCTCCATAGCCTTTCAAGTAATGTAATGTCAGCATGGACGGAGCGATGAGGAAAGTGAGGAAAAGCAAAACCTGCGGTTTTCCGTGCATTTTCGCCTGTGTACATTGAGCTTGCCAATTCTCGGGATAATCGCCTATTGCAATTACTTGGCGCCACGGTGCAGAATTTCCAGGTTTCGCATATGAAGACGTGGCGACATGCGTGCCGGACAATACAACCTCCGTCCCTCTCTGACGCTGGGCTTACGTTTCACCAGCCTTTGCCCTAGCCATATTGCAGTCTCGGCGCAATTGCTTAGGCTGGCGGTGCGCGGCGCCACGTTACACCATGGGCTGGCCTTTCTGGTATGCCTGCCGGACATGTTCTTACAAGACATGCGATGGTGAGTTGCACGGGAGTCGCACGGCATGATCGAGCCAACTTGGAGCTCACAGAAGCTGAGTGCACAAACCTTGTCACCTTTTGGATGTGATAATCCTCCTTGAAACCCAAAGGTTGCAACTCTCTTCCACCAAAAGAAGATTCGGCCAGGCACTTTTTGCTCTTCTATGGCACAAGGCATTACTCGACGCCATCTGTCAGTGCACCTTGGCAGATCCCACGGCAGGGTCAACGACCAGAATGCATGAGACACTTGCCAGGCAGTCATGGAAGGGCGACAGTTCGGATGCGAGAAAGGGGTTGTGTAAAGAAGCAGTGCCGGGGGGAAAAGCAAAGCACATGTTTACCAACGTGGACCTTGCAAAGCCATCTAACGTCGTGTGCAGGCAAGCTACAAAAACACAGACGCTTGCCAACTAGAAGAACTTGCCTGCAAGGCAAGGATGCGGCGATTGCTAAAATAGAAGTTGCTGCATGCAAGTCTTGCAGGTAAAAGCGAATTATGAATGGGAACTATGCCCAACCATCTCGATTGTCGACGTTGGGCGTGTTGAAGCATTCAGACATGAGAATTGTTTCAGGAAGCACTTTTGCTCACTTTTGTTTGCCTTAAGGATGCCGTGTGCATGTGTGTATGCGTGGGCTTGGTGCCCGACTGGCCCCCGGGCCCGGACAAGGCCTTCGAAAAGAAGCCCAATCTATGAACATGCGCCAATCCGTGATCAGGGCCAGGATCTACGAATTTACCAAAAAGCCCTGTGCTGTTGGGTAAGGACGTGCTGCCTACCACCAGAGACAGTGCCGGCAAACACGGACTACACGGTACCTGCAAACTGAGACCATGCCTAGCCCAACATCAGTCATGTAAGGACATGGTGCCTGCAAACACCGACTGCTGTGCATAAAAGACACAGAAAGATGCTCAACACGAAAGCACTGCTGTAGGCCAGGACTCGGTGCCTGCAAGCAAGCAGCATGCCTAACCTGACAACAGTGTTGCAGGTAAAAACGGGGTGCCAACGAATAGGGTCCATGCTCAACCAGAAGACAACGTTGTGCAGGTAAGGTCACGCTGCCTACAAACATGAACTGCCCATCCGAAATCCAATAGGGAATTGCAGACAAGGTCGTGGTGACTACAAACACCGACACTGCTAGACCAGAAGGCAGTGCTGATCGATCAATCTTCTGACTTTTGAGATCATGTGTTGTGGACCCTCCCATACTCGAGTTTCTGCAAAACGAAACGCACAAGCAAAAATGCTTGGGGGAATTTTCTGCCAGAAGTGTTGGGAGATGTGGCTTGTGGGATTGAGTTGGACTTTATGAAGTTTACTGAAGTTTATGAGCGTTTATAGGGCGCTTGCGTCTCAGATTTAGGATTTAGCGGTTTCCCACTCGACCACTGCCTTGTGTTCTGGCTCCAAGCAGCACTTCCCTCACTTGACTCGCCTCCCAGCCCATGCCTCAAGGTATCATCGCTGGTGCTGCGGGGGCCTGGTTTTTTACCAGAAAGGATCAGAAGGCCCGTCTTGGGAAGCGGCAAACCTCGGCTTTTGCAAGCATTGCCTGTAGAGATCTGTGTTTGTCAGTCGTAGATCTGTGTCAGCCTACGAGTTCTTGGGAGGCCGCGGCGTTCGTTTGCTGTCCCGCATTCACGAACGCTGTGATTTGGCCGCTTGGCTGAGCCTCAAGGCGGAGCCTCAAGGCGGAGCCTCAATGCTGCAGAGATGTCGAGCCATACGACTCCAAGGCACTTGGGATCCTTGGCGTTTGGTTCCCTCATCCTGGCCATCGCGCCTTGCCTTGCAAAGACGAAGCGCCCGATCACAGGAGCTGAGGAGCTGAGCTCTGCAAACAAAGAATCCTGATGCGGGCTTTTTTCTTGGCGCACCAAGGTGCAGTGGCTCAAGTGGTTCATGCGCCTCTTGGCTGCAAACCAATTGCAATGCGAACAGCACCCAAAAGTGCAAATAGGGAGAGAGAGAAAGAGAGAGACAACAATCTTAATGTTTCATATGTAGGTGTATATGTGTGTGGGTGTGATATAAACATACTCAATATTTGTAGGTGTATATGTGTGTAGGTGTGATATAAACATACTAAATATTTGCTTGTTTGTGTATATGTGTGCGGGTGTTTGTTTTTCCCGCTCCCCTGCCTCAATCAAGTTGGTCGGGGTCCCCAGAAACTCAGCCCAATACTAACAACCGTTTGACCATATAATCCCCCCCCCCCCTGCTCAGAAAATATTTGCTGCGTGTTTTTTGCGTTTTGACCTGGCAGTGGGGTGGGGAGGGAGATTTGGCATTAGGCGGAAGTTCTGTGGAAAGAGAGCAAACGAGCCTTCTGGGACAGTGGAATCCCCCGAGCACTTGCGCCGGTTTCACCATGCATGACGGTTTACATGACTTGGGGTAGTGGCTGAGCCCAGATGAAGTGGAATACTGCCCGGGCCAAGTTTTTGTAGAAATAATCAATAAAAACTCAATTGAACACATATGAAATTGAAATATTGTCGGGGTACTCAGGTTTGCGCAGTGGAGGCGGGGGTCGGGAATCCCGGTGTGCTCATCAGGTGAGGAGTGTTACACTGACGAAACTTGTAATGCACGCCTTCGAGCGGCCCCTCCGAATGGACAGGGCTCAAGTGCGTCGAACCAAAGACAGGAAGACAGAGAGAGAGAGAGAGAGAGTGAGAGAGAGAGCGGAGAAGGGGGGCCCTCGCAAGCGTGGAGAAGAAGAAGAAGAAGAAGAAGAAAAAGAAGAAGAGCGGAGAAGCAGGAGACGACGAAGAAGAAGAGACAGAAATCTGAACGTTGAGCACGAATGGAAGCGATTGGAAATGCGAGGCTTCCTGTCAGAGCAAGCGAAGTCGAGGAAGAACCGGGTGCTACGTGTGGTATTTTGCATTCTGGGCTGCTGCATTTGGTGCTTTGAGACGCTTCGAGATGTTCAGTTGAGGAGTCAAGTTCTTGTGCCGTGGTTCTTTGGCAAGGCCATGGCAGTACTCCGGCCCCTTGTCGCGCGTTGCAATTGATCACCAAGGAAACTCATCAAGTTCCTCAACAAGAGCTTGGGTGTGCAGTTAGACTCGCTTCTGCCCCGCTTGGGGTGCTGCTGCCACCACCAATGCGCTGCTTAACACATTTCGGTCCTATCGTGGCTGCGTTGTGTCACTGTAGGAACGCCTACATCCAGATCGCCCTGAAGGGCACGAACTTCTGCACTTCAGCTGCTCGGCTGGCAGCTGGCACCCTGCAAAAACTCCCCGTCCCCAGTGCGTCCCATCACCAACACCAATGACCCTTCACATCTGCATCCCTTCACGAGCTGACAGTCATGAACCTGTGTCAAAGTTCTATGATACATGTGGTCCATACTGTATAAGGCATGGAGGGCATTCGAGCTGCTCCTGCGGAACATCATCCGCTTCGGCGCGCTTTCTCTGCTGGGCTCGCTTGTCCGTGGCCTAGGAGCGCCAAGTGCAGTGCCCGCAGTGCCCTCTTTTCCCCTCTTTCCTTCGATCCGGTTGAAGCCCTGATGTTTGATGCGCTGTTGAGACATGACGGGCGTGTGCGTGCATACTGTGCAGCAGGGACTACCTTCATCTGCAGCGCAACCGCTATTTGTGGAAGCTTGGCGGCCTGAAGTCTCTGTCAGAATGGTCCATTTCTTGCGGCAGTGCCGCTTCGCTTCTCAAGGTTACTTTGTGATGCAGTCGTTCTATCCGGAGATCAGCTCGTCTCTGAGGAAGCATGGGCCCGCGCACGGCGGCATATTTCTCGGGTTTTTACAAAATCAGGTCCCATCCTGAATGTCCTCACCTACATTCTTCTGGGATTTGTGACTGGCCGCTTGTTCTTGAACCTGAACTCGATGACCTGCGACACGATCATGCACTGCTACATCATCTCGGAGGCGAGGGAGGAGGTGTCGAGCATGTCAAGCCTGTGGCTCATGCAACGATCCTGCAGGAGGCGGAGATGAAGGATCGCGCGGACTTCGTGCCGACAGAGCTCAAGTCGCTCATGAAGGATCAGGACTTGAAAAGCCACTCGGGTTTAGAGCGAGGGGCATGGTGGGACTTGGAGAGAAACTTTGGAGAAACCTTTTCGCTGGTCGTAAGACCATGTCAACGGGTGAGCATCCATTTTCTTGGGCACCAGTAGTGAGAGGCAAGGCACGACGCAGCCTCGCTAGGCTCCGATCGTCGAAGTACTTGCTGCTTGCCATGCTGATCGTGCTGGAGCCATTGGATCTTGACGTCATCTTGCACTTGAGTTTATTGGTACCAGCTGCAAAGCCAGAGTCCGCGCACATCGTCACTGCGGCAAGCCGGCCGGACTGGTGATGCCGGCAAATTGAGACGCATGCCTGTTTTTTGTCCCTGGGGCTTTGTATCTCTCTGCCTTATGGTCTGTTCAGGAGACCCAGGTGTGCAACGAATTCGAGTTGAGTACAGAGGATACTCGGACATGTGCTTCTCTCGCACAAATTCAAAAAGCATACACATTGTAACGCATTTGCAGTGCGAACAGGAAAATCGGTTGCACGCCGTGTGGGAGGTCTGCTGCCGTGCCAATTGCATGCGCCAGATTGTGCCAGCGCTTCTCCGAGAGTCAGAGCGACACACAGAGCGAAGCATACTCAATTCTCACATATTATCAACACAACTCAAGACTGCTGCGTGCCATTGGAGAAGCATTCCAGGCCTTCGTAAGTCTCTAGAAAGGGCAGCTTAGCCACGCCGAAGACGTTTGTGTATGCTTTTGCATCAATTGTTTGGGGTTGTAGGTATCTATTCGGTACATCTATAAATGGCACATGAGCACAGAGCCTGGGAAGCGCCGGCGCACCCGCGACACGTGCGAGGTGGAAGTTGCAACGGGCCAATCGTCAGAGGTGCTCGAGCCAGGCTCGGACAGGTTTTTTCTTGACTGGCGAGCGCAGCTCCATGCAGAGTCCTTGGCAGAGTCAGAGTCTCCGGCAGAGTCTCCCGCGGCTCCACTGGTGGGGATGGTTCCATCGGTCCCGCCAAGGCTGGGGGCACTTGGAATGTATCACCGACTGCGTGGCGCAGCGCACGTTGCCGCCCCCAAGCGGTTTCCTGCTCCGTGCGTGCCATGGACTCCGACACCGCCAGCGGCATCCACTCCGTCCGCTGCTTCTGCAGGCGCCTCAAACGTGCCCACGATGACGATGGGCCCTTGCGGGTTGCAGCACTGTGCGAAAGCCTCAAGCAGGGCTGTTGCGGCTACTGCGACTCCTGATCGTCTCGTGCGTGGCCGTGGGCAGCGCTTCGGCTCTCAGAGCTACTTGCGCTCCTGGGACCTCAACGAGCCGGGGCAGCGACTCGACCCGGATCCCATGTCACCCAAGCTCCTCAGAATCCTGCAGGCGCTAGTGCCCTTTAAGTTGCCGGCTGACGACCCGGACAGCGAGTCTTGCGCTATTTGCTACGACTCCATGCACGGCGAGCTTGTGAGGCGGCTGCCATGTATGCACATCTTTCATGCAACGTGTATAGCTCGATGGCTCCGCATCCGAACGTGCTGTCCACTGGACAAGTGGGACGTTGAGTCTGCGCTGCAAGCTGAAGAAATAAGGCCACGTGAGCCGAGAGCAAGAGAAAATAGAGAAGCGGAGACTAGCTCCCCGCTCTCATCTCCAGACTCCTCTCCGTTATACCAACCAAGCCGTTCACCGTCTCCGGGCTTGCGTGAACGTGACGAGCCCACCAGTGTGGTCGGGCAGCCGCTGCTTCTCATAGAGTGAGAGGCAGCTGCCCTGCGACCGGCAACAAGGAGAAAAGGCTCTCCAGAAAAAAGGGCTTCCTTTCGAAATGATGACTCGCGCACACACACACACATGTTCGTTCGACCAATGGTCGACCATGGCGCTGCGATGAGCATGATGCACAGTGACCTAAACATAACATACATCCCCAAGCGTGGGCGGCGGACTTCCTGAAGATCCTGACGAACAGCAAAATCCCAAGCCCTTAGTTTGAGGGATCTGAACACACACACGCACACACACACACACCACACAAACAAACACACACACACACACACACACACACACACTCTCTCTCTCTCTCTCTCCCTCCCTCTCCCCTTCACACACACACACAGACACAGAGACACACACAGCGCATCGCAGTGCAGCGCAGCGCAGTGCAGCACAGCGCAGCGCAGCGCAGCGCAGCGCACCACACCACACCAAGAAGCTGCTTAGTTAAGTATCAAAGCACGTCGCATGTACCTGATTGCATAGTTTGGCTTAGCATATTATTGTACTCGTCTTCGTTCTTCGGAACTACAAAGTACTTTAGAATCGCTCTCTTGCTGATTGCGTTTTCCTCCATCCCAGTGGTCATCCGAAACATCTTTTGCACACCGTAAACCCTTACCCCCCTAAGCAATACGGCCAACTCGCCCTACATGCAGAAATCAACCCAATAAGATTAGGTAGCTCATGTTTGCTGCCCATGTACCAAGCAAACATTTCCTTGCTGCAACTTTCGGCCTTCGCTCAATAGCACGTCCATCTGGCGCGTGGCTGCACGCGCGACATCTGGTACGAAGCTCTGCGGGTCGTGGACCACTGCCTGTAAGAAGCCATGTCCCTAATATGCCTGCGCAGGTTCATATTTTCGAGCCATAACGAAGCCAGTGACACGGTAGTCCCCCCAACATGGACTCCCAACTTGACGGCCTTGCAGCAGATCCGATGCACCCAGCGGACTCAACAGCCATAATAAGTCATATTCGTAATAGTTTAACCGTCATCATCCCGGGAGTTTCCCGTGAGCTGGCTGGAGCCATGGTGCTCCTTCGAACTCGCGGAGCCCAGGACGGAAGGTTGCACGTGAATGGGGAGAATGTGTCATGTCGTCGAGAGCACAATCGTAGCCACTACGTCCCTACGTCCGACTTCTGACCATGGGACTGAAACATCACTGTGATCTGGTCGGCAAGCTGTGGGCACAGCGGGGGAAGAGTTAGGGAAAGCACGACTCCACGTGACAACAAACCATGCAACAACAACTGCGTGCCTGCAAGGTATACTAGTAGCAAGATAACCTAAGTAAGAGCTGTCAGTGGTATTGCTCGCCGCGCTAGCCTGCAGATTTTTCAGAATGAGTCTACTCGTAGCACATGTTCGTACATCTCCTAGCCTAGCACGCTGGCACGAATGCGATATTGGTTAACCTCAGCTGTGCATAGATTTGCGTAGCGGCTGCGTCGCGCGGCCATAGCAGTCCCCGCACAGCATGAACGTCTCGCAGCTTGCTTGCACTTGAGACCAGCAGTCCATCCTTGTCATGCCGCAGGCGCGCAAACAATTCGAACTGAAGTCAAGTCCTGGCGAAGCTAAGGGAACAGTTCCGAGTTTATCGATCAGAAAGGCCAGCTGGCTGACCCTGCTGCAGTTGGGAGAAGTTCTGGGACTAGCAGCTACACAGTACCCCGAGCTGTGTCAGCTGGAAGATTGCACAACTGGACAGGACCACCGTGTACGCCGTGGTGTCCTGGGCAGCTCTCTTCTGCGCATATGCCCTGCCACTGGACAGTCCAAGAGTAGCATGATGCAATGCGATGCAACACCTGTCGCCATCGAGAACTCAGTTTGCACTGTGTCATCATTTGGAGCTTTATTACGGCCTGTAGTTCGGTTGCTGTGCCATGGCTTGGAGCATCGGTATACTCTTGACAAAGTGTGAGCGGCTCTGCGGTTAGGTTTGTGAAAGCCTTCATCGCGAAGCTTTCCCCTCCCATGAGCGAGGCGGCCAAAAGCAAAGGCAGGGTTCCTGGGGACCATTGGGATGGCGTGGGTCGTTTGGTGAGTTGTGCCGGCGGCGTGCTTGTGACGTAGAGATACGTAGAGTACCCTGACGTTTCGTGGTACCGAAGCATGCTGTATCACATATGGTATCGGTTTCTATTGTTATCCGACGCCTTCGCCCGCTGAGCATTCTCGGGCCTTGACTGCCTGTGTGTTGAGCTCATGACTTGTCAGCGTGCCCTCACACTTGCACACTTCTGCCCATTCTGCCTAATGCTTACTCGGAGTTTCAGAGGTATTTTGCGAGACCAGCTCTCCAGGGACATCGCTTCCTGCATAGTGGCCATCACGAGCCCTGGCAGGATTCGGCTTTGGTTCTTGATATTTTTGTCGATGCGAGAGACAGTTGCAGACAGCTGGCCGGAAGTGTATGTCACTGAGGCAGGACTGTAGCATACACCTGAAATTGAAATTCTTCTTTCGTTTTTGATGACGCCGAAAAGCGTCTGCCACGGCCCTGTGGATGACCACAGCCCGAAGTACTCATGTCATGGACTCACAAATGCTACAGTGACCGTGCTGGATACGAAGCGATAGTTCCAGGGAAGGGTACATTGGATTTCCTGTCGTCAAGTTAAGGCCCCAATTTTTTAAGAAGCATAACCCCACGCCACCAGGGTACCCTGGTTGCCTTCATCACGAAAGCTTGCCCCGGTGGAGCTAGCAGAGCATTTTCCCAACCGACTCGCAGCAGAAGCGAAGGGAAGTTTGCCAAGTGTACTACGTAAGTGTACTGGCTGCCACGGTCCCATGGTGCACATAGGCAGAGGAGGACAGGTCAGACGCCGAGGAGACATGTTGATTCCATTCCAGACCCGATGTTGCCTGTAAGGACGCATACTTTCCTTGGACCGATGGCGCTGTATCTTTCTCTAAGCTACCACGCTGCTGGACCCTGATCAGAGTACGGCACACGCTTTGCCCAAGTCTTGTGCAAATGTGGGGGTGAGAAAAAGTCCTGGGCAGCTGTGCAGGAAATCCAGCCTCCCTCGCATGCTTCCTGTTGGAGCCACCGCGCCCTGTAGATGTGACGCGGGAGCTGTGGTGCTGCAGAATTGGCGAGATGTTCACGGGAAATATTCTGTATCAGCCGCTGAGCATTAGCCTTCAGAAACTAGGTTTGGGCATGCTGTGTTAAGTTAGTGCCTGTTGCTCTCGGTCTGCTGAAGTGTCTGGCCCACACTGAGGTCGATTTTCTGGCTCCTGCGCTGGGAGACCGGTATTGAGATGCTGCTACACCATATAGGCCTATGTATCCCCTTGCTGTCCAGCGCTGCTCACCTTCTCATGCCTAACTGCCCTGCTGCCTTCGTGCAGGCTTCTTCGTTGCAGGGTACTTGATCCTGGACTTGACTTGCTTCGGCAAGCTGGCCAGCGCAGCGATGTCCATGGAGGTCTCGAGCGTTTTTCTCAGTGTGCAGCTTGGACAGCCGGAAGAGCAATGGAACGTGCTGTGCTGGAAGCACACTGCATTGTGTTTTTGATGTTGGTGCACGGCCCATGCGCATAAAGATCTATGTGTGTCAGCAGGCAGAACTCAGCAACCTGAGGCATCTGATGACACGCCAGATCGACGGGCGAAGATGCGCTCTGATCTCTGACCTGGCGGCCGCGGTTTTCGTACCGCGTCTCAGATCACAGAGGTTTGGTGCCGTGCTGGAGCTTGCTGTAGTTTTCTCAGCTTCGCTTTACACAGGGTATTTGCAAAACACTGTGTTGCTTTTGCCGCCTCGGCCCTGCCTGATGCGCAGATGCTAGCTCACACGTCGCCTGTAAGACTACCTCGCCCCTAAAGGTCCCGCAGAGGGTTCACAAGAGGTGTGTCCAGGGTTTTGAAGTTCTAAGGGGCAGGTTGCAGGGCAGGGCAGGCCAGGGAATCATGGGCGAACCCATCTCCCAACATCTCAAGCCAAAGCCAAAAGCAACGAAGCTGGGGGTGGCTGGGTTCGAGGGAAGCAGGGGCTCCTTCTGGGAACCTCTGATGCCCACGGGTATGATATTGATAGCAAGGGCACAGACTTGTCATTCACAGAGGCGCTGACCTTCCTCGGGATCCGTATTTTCTGGTACGGCTACGTTGTGGCAGCTGCTTGGGTTCCGAATGCTTGTTGTTCTCCATCAAGAACAGGTCCTGAGCATGAGCCACTTTGCCACTCCTTGCCCCTTAGGAGTTCAACTACTTTTGGTTCCTCGAGCCCGAGAAGCTGCCACAGAACCTGTCCCCCGTCAAGACCTCCATGGTAGCTTGGCGGACCTTCTGCGTGGGCTCAAGACTCCAGACTGCCAGAGGGTTTTGTCCAGTGAGGTAGTATGACGTAGACTGACGTAGTATGGCGTAGTATGACGCAGTGTGATTGTAGACTGCGTGTTTTACTTGTCTCAGCGAGGCGAGGCTTGCGGACACCTGCTGTTGACTGTGCTTGATGCTGCCAGGCATGGTGAACATATTCCATTCTTATAACGCTCCGTTCTGTTCTATTTCATTATACATAATATCCTTCTGAGGAGGTGATGAAGACCAACAACGCGCGTGATTTTAGCCCCATAGCAATCGCAACACCCCAGCCATAAACGCAGCAACAATACGTATTGTTGCAAGGAGGAGGAAAAATGAATAATGGGAGGAATGAACAGTAAAGATGATACCACGATGGCTGCTGTGATCATGACGATGATGCGGCGGAGGAGGAGGAGGAGGAGGGATCATTCCTCCTGATTGATGCGGTGGGCACCACTATGCCACAATTCCCACATGCATGGAAGACTGCCAAGTGGCTGTTTTGTGGCCCTATGGCCCAGAACTAGTCACCACGCATCATTGCGCATCTCTGCATCCTCTCAGGCACATCTGATTTTCACGCTGGGCTGGTTCTTGCAGCTCTACTGGTCCAAGCTCGCTTCCTGTCCGCAGCATGCCTTAGGGATATACTCAAGCTGAATTGAGAGCTGATGAGCCCAGGTTGTGAGCAAAGTCTGGCGGGCAGCTCGCGGCATGATGGGCAAAGACCCTGCGCAGTAGTCTTTGTGCAGTTTGGACGCACTGAAACCAGTTGCCAAGGTGCTTGAAGCTCACCATCCATGAATTTGTGGCACGGTTGAATGTATTGCTTGATTACGATTGGCCTGCACCAGAGCAAAAAGCGCCTTGCAGCGACCGACATGCCTGGCAGTGGCATGCAGTGGCCGCACATGTCCTTTCGGTCCGACCAGAGCTGGCCCTCAGCGCAGTGTCTAGGCCATGCTACATGCACTTCCCTTGGAGTTGCTTCGTGATCTTCAATGCTACCTCGATTTGGGCAGGAGAGGGTGCGTTGGAGAGGCGCTACTCTCCTGGTCTTTCTGCTGGTGCTCCTAGCCTTTTACTGGTGACAAATGCGGGGGAGCAGCTAACCCAAAATGCACAACAAGCATGGTAACTTTCAACAGGCCCGTGGTGATCTATGCACACTGGTCGTTTCTTTCAGGGTCAGCTCCAACATTTTTACAGCACGTGGCAGGCCTCTACAGACGTGATAAGCTGAAGCCAGGCAACCGTCACGCTTGCCACGGCGGAAGAGGCAGGGTTCGAGAAATTCAACAAAGTTCATAAGGTGCGGGGCTGTCTTGTCTGCAGCCAAGCAATCCAATGTTTGCAGAGAGACTCCTATGCATGACCAACAGTTGGCCTACGTTTGTAGTCATTCTTTGTCGTCATTCATCGCAGAGAAATTGCAAAAGCTCTACTACAGTCTTCAGTTTCTGTTGTATGCATATTGTTGGAGGAAGTGTGGCTTGTTCTGCGGGGTAGCTTGCAGTGTGACCCCTGAGGTGACACTAGCAACAACAAGTCAGCTTAGATTTTAAGCTCAACATCGGACCATTGGCCTCAACCTATTTTCAAGGTCTCAAGGTCTCTCATTCTCTAGATTCTGGATTAGAATGGATCTCAGTGATGATCTCAGGCTCTGCCATTCATTGGATTAGTGCATCATCATCTGTCCTTGCCGTTCATTGGCCTAATGTATCATCTGCAAGCTCCTTACGGTACGAGTGGAATTTATCTTCTAGTTTTTTGGTTCGCGAGACCGTCAACATATGCTCCATAATTGCAACGCCAGCTCGTACCGCGCCTCGGCCCAGTGCAGATGGTCATCGGGGTCTAATGACGATACCATAGTCTGAGATAAACCCTCTAGCGAGTTCAGGGTTGTGAGAGAAGGGCCAGAAAGGGGTCCACGGAGTCCATCGACTTGCACAACACGGGGTGCATGCAAAGGGCTCCAGAAGGGGACATGGGAGAGCTAGAGTGGCCTTGGGGGGGGGGGGGGGGGGGTTGTAAGAAGTTGCAAAAGGGAGTGGGCCAAAACAAGGCCCAAGGCTGAAGAAGGAGGGAATGGTTTGGTTCGGAAGTTCGGGCAAATTTATAAGGGCTCCAGGGCGATCCGCAGGGGTTTCCCACGCTTCACCCCAGATGAAGGAGGCAAAGTTGTTCGGTTGCCTCCATTTATTGAAAGGCTATGCCCCAATGCGGCATACAACGCTCACGGAAGATCTACTGTAGATTGCCTACTTCTGGGCAACTTTCGCCATGTTGTAAAATTGGCTGCTGTGGCGGCCAGCGCTTTGTTTCTTGAAAGCCACAATGAAACCCCGAAATCAGAAAGTCAGGCAAGATGCTTAGGCTCTCGGGCTCCTGCTCCCATGTTGCTTTAATGTGCAGCCAAGATCTCGGAGTCAAAAGTCACCAAAAGCATGACGTTCGTCTTGATCACGTCGATGGAGGCAGAAATTGACAACTTAAATGCCACAGAATTGGAAAAATAATGCCCTGCTTTCATGTAGATCGAAACCAACAACTTCATCACAAAGTCGTTTAGACATGCCCCTGAAAAAAAGAACAACAGAGGTAAACAAGAACTTCGTGACTTCTGCCTTTTTGAGTGAAAGATGATTCATTATATACATATGTATGGTCACCCCCCCCCCCCCCCCCCGTTTCTGCACTGTCTTTTCGCTCAAAGACGGTTTGTGCCTTGGACATCACATGACCTCGATAATCCGGGTCGGTTCGGCTGGCCGTCCACCGTCCTGAAATCCTGAAATCTGTGAGACAAGAGCAGCAATTGGCGGCAGGCAGGAGAACTCCACTCTTCGGGCGAACTTGAGGCTTGGCGCAAGCTCTTGTTTGTTTTTTGTGTGTGTTTTTGTTTGAGGGGGAGCCGGGCATATGCCAGCGAAGACGGGTCCTACGGACCCTATGTGATTATTTCGGGGGTGCTGCACATTCTAATTAGCATCCCAGAAGCTGCCAAAACACACACACCTACAGCATAGCTGTTTCCAAATCTGGTATAGGTCTTGAAGGCCACTGCATCCGGGAGGGTGATGGAGCCGGATTTGTGGAAGAAGAGAAACGTTCTTGGGATCGATCGTGAGTCTTAGTGCCGGCAGGTGGCCGACAATGCCACCGAGCTAGTCAGGCGCGCTGCAGCTCTGAGTCACGAGTCGCCAAAGCAGGTCAGCTGCATTTGAGCAGGCCATGGTTTAAGATTAAAAGGGGCAAGGAGTGAGACTGTGCGAAGGCCGTCCGAGCTAGAGACTGACATCTCCGGTGACCAAAAGCAGGTCTGCAAGTGCCTGCAGTGCAGTTGGAGGGTCATCGCGCGAGCGATGTCAGCGCAAAGAAGTTGCACCTTGTCGAGGATGTGAACTCCGATGTGCAGCTTCCAGAGCTCCCAGACCTCCCAGAGGCCGCGCCAGCCAGTGAGGCGTGTGGCGAGAACAGCGCGGCCAGGCCCTCACGAGAGTGTGGCGTCAGGATTGCAGAGTACATTACATAGATAGTGCATGCATCAGATCTCGATAGCTGGTGCTTGTGTGAGTCTATAGTCCTTGTCTTGTTCGGTTCGGGGTGAGGGGGGGACGGCAGACAAACTAAGCGCCCCTGTGGACATGAGATGGGCAGGAGTCAGATATCTGCAATTCGGCACACAGCGGCCGTGGTTGCTGGATTTGCTGACGGTGCGGCCTACAGTTTGCGCATGAGGGCTTGACCGCACGGAAGAGGTAATTATGTGATCGTATTGGGTCCCGTGCAAGCCACGAGCCAGGTGCCATGGCTCAAATTCCTGGCGCATCGGCGGTGGTGCCGGCCATTCAGGTACCATCGGCTATGACCAATCGGGTGTTTAGCATGCAGAACTTGGTATAACTTGGTTGCGGCGTGGTCCAGGCTGCCATGATTTTTGCCATCGCTCTCCAGTACGGCTGTCTCTGTGCTGCATCCCAGAAGCCTCATGAAGCCTCCACGGTCGCGCGGGCCACTGCCACGACGGCGCCAGTCTCAAGCCAGATTTGCGTGGGGCATCATGGGGCATCTTTTGCTCACTCTGGCCGGGGCTGGCCTTGGCGGGGCCTTAAAACACGTTATTTTTGAAACAATGGCGGGGGGGGGGGGGGGCTGTGAATCCTCGGCAGTAGATGCTGCAATATGGGTCCTGCAAACATCACTGGTTGAGCAGATTGTGTTTAGAATGCTCTAGTGCCGTCCCTTGTCATGAGCCCACGTTTGCTAGTGCAAGGCTATTTGGATTTGGGCACAGCCTTGGCTGTATCCACCTTCCTCGGCAGCGAATACGTCGACATGGCTGCACCACATCTCTGGACCCGGAAGCTTGAAAAGCTGCAGAACCTCTGCAGTCTGTATCGCCGTGCAGCGCCGCCCCACGCTGCCATTGTGAGGTCAAGATGTCTCTGGTTAGCCACGCAATGGGATGGATCCCTGTAGCTGGAAATTTGATCAAGACACTTGGCTTCGTATTGCGCCTCTTTCCTCTGTAAGCGCCTTGAGAGAAGTCGTCGCAAAGAGCCGCTTCCGGAGCTTCTCTCCGAGGACCACCTTGTCGGTAATCATGACCGAGGGCATCGGCACGGCAGCTGAATCCGGGCACATATGGCATATCATATGGCGCACACTCGGATTCGGTGCCTCGATGTGTTGATGTGCGTTCTGGCATTCTCATCGGCGAGCTGGCTTCGCGTAGCCTGAGGAGAAGATGCTCAGCTGCCCCACCATGCGTGAGGATCTGCTAGACAAGGCCGACTCGCCGCCCTGCATCATCCAAAGTTGTGAAGTCACTTTCATGCACATGTCGTGCAGCTGATCCTTGGCAGCTGTTACAGTGTACTGTAGCTGTTACAGCAATCAAGCTTCACATCCCGACATTCCCGACATCTGTCAGGCTGCTCGGGAGGAGCCTTCGGAGACACTTGCAGCAGACGGTCAGGCGCCTTCCACTGCCAGCTGATTCGCCTCTATTGTAGCTGAGCATTCTTCTGAAGGGTGTGTAGGTCCCTAGTCTGGGCGAGTCATTCCGGACATGTAGCTTTGCCATGTAGGCCTCCCGAGTCAGAGAGTACTACCACGTCATCTCTGACTACCTCTCTTCGAGCTGTGAGCTTAGCGCATCTTAGCGGTGTGGAGGGGCGACTTTCTGCGTTGAACATTCAGTCCAAAGGTGAGGTGACCCCTTGGAGCAGCACCACCGCAGCTGCTCGAGAGGCTGTGGCTTGAGGGATTTTTCTGGGGGACGGGAGGGAAAGGCCGAGGCCCAATCCAAATGCTCTGCTACCCGAAGCTCCGAGCTATTCCGTTTCCGTGGTCCATGCATTCTGTTTTGAGTCGCATCTTATTCGAGAGGCTCAGCCACTGTCACCTGACAGGTGTGGCAACGAGTGGAATCGATCTTCCGCAAGGAGGATCAGGCAGCCAATGATCAAGAAGTCTACAGTCGAACATACTCAAACGGTCAAACCAGAGTGGCTGTGTGTGTCCGAATCAGGTGAAGTTGCTTGCGAAGGTTCACGAGGTGCCCTCCGGGCTTGCCGGCAGGGCGAAAAGCCCACGGAAGGGCACAGAAGGGAGCCTCGGAGCCTCTTTGCATCTTTTCTGTATCTCTTGAAGGCCCAAAATCCGGTGGACCTCGTGTCCCTGGCGCACAAGCGACTCGGTCCGGCCACCTTAAATCCGGAGCTGCTGCCAAAATCACAGGGTCGTTCCCTTTCATGTCTCAGACCTTGCCATTGTTTGGGCCCAAGGTACAGCTGGAACCTCCCCGTGTTGGAGGTGCATGGGAGTTGGCGCTACGCATGAATCCTGTAACTACTCGTACCTGGAACTCTGCATCAGTAGAAGAAGTATGTAGTAGAATCATGCTGCTCTTGAAGCGCTGCGCCGTGTGCTCAAAGTGGGCTTTTGCATCTCAGCCTGAAGGCATCGCTCCTGGCTTTGCGGGATCGCTTTCCTCCTGACCTCGCCTGCGTCGAAGTCGCAACTCAGCTGCGCTCTGGAGAAAGCCTCTTTGAGTTGGTGACATGTCGTGATAGTCGACCAGCCCCATGCGCCCCATGCAGGAGTCGTTGGCTCGCCGCTTCTGGTCTACCCCTGCAGGGGATGGTGAAGTGAAGGCGGTGCCTCGGCCACGGAGCCTGCGAAGTGTTGGCTCTTCGTGGTCATGTCGTCATAGGCACGTCACAAGCACATTTTGAGGTCTCTGCTCCTCACCTGCTCTACTGCTGGTCGCAGCTTTCGCTTCCCCGGCGCCGTGCAGCGGCACTGCTGGCGGCGGAGCTGGTGACTGAAGCCACGCGCATGGGAGGCAAGACTTGCCGCGATGCGGCGGGCCTTTTTGCAGATGTAGTGATGTTGGTTCGCTGGAAAAGGCCACGCGGCCGTGCTGCCCTGGGCATTGGCCATCCTCTTGGAGGGCACACAACCACAGGGAGGTTGGGGGTGCTGTGTCCCGTGTGGCTCGGCAGGTGCCATTCCGTTTTCTCTTGGCAGGTGCAGAGCTCCCGCTGGAGGACTTCGCCTCACCGACGTTTCTGGAAGCCTTATTGAAGGCGCTTTCCAGGGGCGAGGCGGGGCGCAGCACTGGATCCCTTCGAGGCTGAGGTTGCGACGGGTTGGGTCTTCATTTTCGGAGTTTTGAAGCTGCACTTCAGGGGGGAAGTTCCAGATCGGGTTTCTTTTTCCGTGCTGGGGGAATGGTAAGCCTACCAGAGCCAAGCGTTTCAGCAAGATTAGGGAGAAGGAATACTGCAGCATTGGCCCCAAATCTCGAGCAAAGCACGCAAGCCCTCTTTCGCTCTTCTTGCGTGCGTGCCACGGGTTTTGGCTCTTGGGCAGTCGTGCCATGTTCAAACGCTCCGGGGGGGGGGGGGGCCTGCCCTTGACAGTCAGCGTGTCTGGAGACCTCCCGTAATGATTTGGGCAGAAAGCCCTGAGGCCGGAGCCTGCCTGGTGCTGCGACGCCTCCTTAGTGGCCATCCGGCACCGGAGCCCAGAAATTGTGGAATGTTATTGGGACTCGGTGGACATATTGCACAATGTTGCATCATGTTCTCTCCAAAGGGCTCTAATTCTGCTGCCGTGCCACCGAGGTGCAGACGTCTTTCCAATGGGTGACTCTTCGCCATCTGCAGTGGCTTGACAATGCAGCCGTCGGGTACGGGGTGCAAGCCGCTAAGCCCGTGGAACGAACTGTCGTTTCTGGCCGAAAGCGAAAGCTGATGTCAATCGTAGATTTTTTGCAGCCCTCTTTCGGCGAGGCAGCTGGATTTGATGGACAACGTTGAGGGAGCAGCCGGCCATTGGCAATGGGACGGTGGGTTTGAGCTCCACATTTTTCTTCTTGTTTTGGGTCACATCAAGTCACACCTGCTGAGCTCAAAGCAGCTGAGGAGTCTTGTCTGCCCTCGCTTCACATGGACATCAAGAAGCTTCTGACTGCAGATGCCTTGCCAGAAGGCAGAGGGCTGTCTTCACTCACTGGGAGCTTGGCCCTTCAGAGTCTGTACTCCGTGCAGCCAGTGGATTCGTTCAGTGCTTGTAGATTCTAGACTGACCAACACATTCCTGCGCAGGCTTAGAGACTCCTCAGACGATGTTGCCTACGCCAAACAAGGCAGCCGAGTGCAAATCTTGGACTGCCACATCTTGGCACACGACGGGATGGCATGTCCTTCTTTCATCAGGTCAGATCGGCACGAAACCAGCTTTATGAATCTATGAAGGATGGGCAGATGGGGGGAGGGAGGGGAAGCAGCAGAGCAAGAGCACCCTGAAGCAGGGGCAAGGTGGTTTTTTTTAAGCCGCAACACAGTAGTCTTTGCTGGGCTGTGCGTGCTGAACAAGCCCCAGAGGCAGACCCTTTCGCTGCGCTGGTGGGGCAACAGTGCGCAATCAGGAGGCCGAGACTGTTAGGCCTGTTAAGCTGCAAGGGGCACCTTTTCGGAAGAGTAGGATTCAGGGGGTCGTTGCACCAGGGCCTGGTATTTGTGCAGCAGCTTTTCTTATGTATGTCCTGCGTGTGCCATCGTTGCAGGTTGATGCAGTCTCCTGGGTATGTGCGCCTGCGGAAGAAAGGCATCCAGCGTGACCCAGCCTTGATTTCAAACGCTTCCTGCAACTGCTCGTGCGCCGCGAAATAAAGAGACGAGAGAAGAAGCGGAGAAGTTGTGCGCAGCCCGAGGCCCCGGTGTTCCATTGGTGCTGCTGATGACAGGACCTTCGGGAACAGGCGGGCCTCTTGCGATCAAGACGTTAAATCCGTTAAATCAGCTACAGGTTCTAGGACTCTTAGCATGGGTTTCTGGGAATCGTTTTTCGCGAAGGGAAGACCATGGCGGCCCGGACGATTGCCGAAGTGATCCACGGACGCCCGATCCAGGAGCTAGAGGCCGGATGCATCGTAATGCGCAGAAATGCAAACCCCCCCCCCCCGCGCCCCCACACTTATATGTCTCGAGAGCACAAATAAAATAATCACACGTGCGTGTTGGAACACTTGAAGTCTCTGAGTCTGCGAGCGCCCCGTTTGACGATTCGTTTTGTTTTCAGATTTGGAGGCCTCGGGCCGCTTCCGGCTTTTCCCCATGCCTCTTGGGCTCTCGAAGATGGGACTTCGAACGGATTGAATTTAGATCAATCTATTTTCAATCTTTCGCTCTTTTCTTCTCTTGTCGAGCTTGGAAAAGCGCGCTTAAGTTGTGGAAGCTGATTCGTGCTGGTGGGGAAGGTGACGGAGGTCACAGTCAGGGCAGTGCCATCCTTTTCTCTCGGTTTCATCGACATGCGTTCTCCTGACTTGATGGGGCCGACATCCAAGGAACCAGTTCCGCAGCTTGGCGTTTTGGAGCTGTGCAGTAGTCAAAAGCTAGACTGAGACTGCAACTCTTCACACCCTGCCCCAGGAATGCTTGAAGATCAGCCCCTCCTCTGAATTAAACTTTGCTCAAAGGCCGCACAGCTGTAGCAAGGTCTGTGTGAGAGTCTAACAAGCTCCTGCAAGCATTGAACGAAAAAGATGTTTCTCCAATCCCTCTTAGAAGCTGCACTTCGCGTTCTCCTTGTTAAGGAAGACCTTCTTCGGGCCGCCACGCGGCATCCAGGGCTCCGGGGACCTCCCTGACCTGGCCCTTTGACCCCAAGAGTTCTGCATCGACGAATGCTGCACACTGACTCTGCCCCCTCACGCGCATGTCCTCTTCCTCGCTGCTCCTCCACTTCTGCGTGAGGTGCGACAGCACCCGGATGCGGCTCCTGGGGTTGCAGCCAGACCTCAAGAGGCATGTCAGTGCTCAGTGCACCCTTCAGCGGGAAGGTCATCGTGCTGGACGAGATCGAGAAAGCCCATTCAGATTTTGCCAGAGCTTTGCTGACAGTCTTCGGCGAGTATGGCTCCTCAGCCTGCCTCAGCTTGGAGCCGTAGCTGTAGTGGCCACGTAAATTAGCTTCTCCGAGCCTGCTGGAGACCGGCTGCTTGTCTACTGCTCGATTTATTCTGTGTCCTGCTGGCACCAGCTGACTTTTCCCTCCGCTTGTGCTCTGTGACTCTGTGGCTCTGTATGCTTCATCTCAGGAACTGTCTACGACCCACGAACGGGAAGGGACTATCCAGCAGCCAATGCAACCTGGCCTCGATGAGTGTCGCAGTGCGCAGGCCATATGGCCATGGCCATGCAAACACGGCCAAACATGGCAAAAGACGGCTCAACGTTCTTCACGGTCGTGCTAACCCGAACGCGCTACTGTAGACACTCCAGATGCTCAAGGCCACCTTCATCCTCACAAGCAACCTCGCGAAAGACCTGATTCTGAAGCACGCCGTTTCGGACGCATGTCCAGCATATGGAGCGTGCGTTCAGCAGATCTGATGTGCCGAACGCAAAGTTAATGGGGTCCGTGGGTAGGCAGTGCACAGCTGAGCTAAAGCTTACACTCGCTTGTGCACCAACCACGTAGAGGGCATGAGGCAGGCTTGCAAGATCAAGTAGCCACACGGCCACGAGAAGCTCATTGCGCTCTTGCTGGGCTCTTCTCAGGTGGCTAAGAGTGAGGGTCGTGCGCTCGAGACGGGGCAGAAGTCCCTCGGCTAGCAGGGGCTGCGTGGCCATCGACAAGGATGTGCTGGGAAAGTCCTGTAGCACGGCTGTTTCGAAAGAGAGGTGTGTTTGCAGGACAGGCAGTTCACAGCTGGTGGCATTCAGGGTGAGCCTAGCTAGGCTTCCTTCTGGTGCAGACGGCGACCCCGACTGCGCCGGCTATGCCCGTTGGACGCATTTCATATTTCAGGTCGGTGGCTCACACAGTAGGCCAAGCTTGGAATGGTACTGTACTGTCAGAAGGGTCGGCATTGAATGCCTGCGGAGCGCTTCGTTCTGAACGCCGTTTGCCAACAACATGGTTTGTGGCGCTCATTTGGCCGTGCGTTATACCGTTATGCTGTGTAGTTTTTGGGTCAAAACTCGAGTTTTCAGCAAATTCAGGGTTTTGGGGGTTGCAGACTGCTGTTTCAGGGCTGGCAGAAACCTCACTTTTAGAATGCGGTTTCTGGTTTTGCTCTTGTGCCACCCTCCTAGCGTGCTGGGCCACAACGAGAGCCAGAACAATCAAATAGCCCATCCTCACTCACTATGCCACCCCCTCTTAAGACTCTGGGCGTGTATACAAGCGATTGAATTACTCGTGCATGCAACATATCATCCCCTCGGTTGCCGCGCATTGTCGCACACAAAGTGTTCATAGTCTGTTCATAGTCAAGGATTCAAGAGGGAACTAAAGGCAAGTAGGTGGCGGCGGCCTCCGAGGTATAGATACTAGGATACCAACAATCAGTGCCACAAGGTGGGCAACCCCCAGAAGAGAGGGGAACAGTTCTGGTCCATAGCTGTGCGGCTCACCCATTCAGATTGACACCAACTGAGCCGCGTGTTCAGGGGAGCAGCAGTTTATAAACTGCAGCGCGGGCCAAGGGCGTGAATTACAAATTGCATGCAGAAAGAGGTAGTGCCGCTTCAACTTGGAAAGCATGCAGAGGTGCACGGTGGGTCAATGCCTGAATTTACTCCCTGTGAAACCCCGCCGTGTGTGGACTGTTTTAAGGCTTGAGGTTTCGGGCTTGCACTGTTTCGGTGCAGGAAGTACTTTTGTGAACCATACCCCCCCCCCCCCCCCCCAACAGAAAAGATCCGGCACTTCAAGGCCGCGTTGAGAAAGCACAAGCCGAGCACATGAACCCGCCAAAAACGACAAAAGTGCGAAGCAGAACCCGAAAAACACAAAACTCGAATCGCCAAAATCACCAACAATGAGCAAAACCGGGCCAACAACCCATAAAGCCAAGGTGAAGCTGGCAGATGTGCCAAAACCCTAGAAATGGGACACGTTTTGGAGTTTAGAGATAGACACATCAGGAACTGGCAAATGGCAGTGTAACCCAGAACGCTAGAGAAAGTGGTGGAACTGTTGTATGCTGCAGCAGCCGAGAAAAAGCACGACGAAACCTTGCAAATCCGCACCGCGTTCCAACTACGTGGCGCCTCACCGACTGAGGCAGAGCTTCGTGAGGCTGTGGATGTAGAGCTGAGCCAACCACGAGGTATTGATAGAGAGACTTGGCTTGACGGCTGTCGGGGCGATGTAACAGTCTGGTGGTGGGGACTGCGTGCCTCCATATGCACATTGACTGCAAATATGAGCAAAGAGTTGGCAAGGAGCATGGCTTTTTCCGGGAGAGCGAGATCCGGGGCCGCCTTACCGACGTGTTGCCCTTCCTCCCCTTCAGTCCGCACGAGGTAGAGCAGGCTGTTCGAGGCTTCCTGGCCTCCGAGTCCAAGGCCTGAGCTTGCAAGCGAGATGTGTTTTGCAAAATGTACTTAGACGATGGTTAGAAGCCCTGTCTTTTCGGCAAATTCAGAACATGCGTAGCACTTGATGATACCTGATGCATGTAACACTGCGGCCTTTTGATGCTGCCGAAGTACGAGAAGCATTTGCAGCGCTTCCATCGCACCATGCCTCGCTTGAGAGATGTCAGACGTTTTTGAGAAAGGCCTTCTCACAGCACCCTGGCTTCGCCAACGTGGAGCTCGCATGGACTCCGGAGGCGAGCGCAATGGAACACGGTGTACATACCCAATTTCCTTCGTTTCGCAAATTCTGTAAGGTCAAATGTGTGTAGCAGGGGCCTTGCCTTTTGTCCGACATGGTTTCGAGTCTCCCCCTTGTGAGTTACGGGGCTGAGACGAAGCCACTAACAGCTGTACGCAAGATGATACGTTTCCGAGAGGTGGTTCGCCACTTCGCCGCGCTCTACGCCAAGAAGCCAGACGAAGGGCTTCGTGCTGTCAACAAGGAGTTGCAAGCCCAGGCAGGGAGAGGTGTTCCAGGGTGTTCCAGGGTGTTCTGCAGCCCGTGCCATGGTATGGAGCCGCATCAGCCGCAACGAAAGCACCGTGCTCCGCTGGGGCCCTCAAGGTACGCGATCTGCTGGAGCGATCCATCGAGGCGACTGATGGCTGATGTGAACTTGAGAAGATGTCGACATGAGTCTTGAAACATCTTCGCTTGTGCTCATGCTGTCTGTATAGCCCCAGCTGAGTGCCGTCAATGTGTGTGTGACGTGTTCTGCATGTCTCGTCCCCCAGAGTGACGGCATGTGACGGCCTTTTGGGGCAAAGGGTGGGAACATGAACCGGGACACGTGTGGACTTTTGAGAAGTTTTCTTCTCAGGCCGGCCTGGTTGTGCGGGGCGCCATCGCTGCTCTTCGCTTGGATGAAGGTCCCTTCCGTGGATCCCGAATGTTGCAGCCGCTTTAGTGGGGGCCCCTTCTTTAAAGTCAAGTTTGCTGGGCTCTTCAGGACCGTGCCTGTTGGGGGGGAGGTGGGGATCCCTCCTTCCTCTGAATTGGATTGAATGAGTTGTGTCCAATCGGGTGATCGACGCGCCTCCTTGAATCCAGTTCCGGGCCTCGCTGAGCCTCGCTGCCCCGTAAAAAAAAACATGTTTAAGCTCATCTGTCATCTAAACTCATCTGAAAAAAGGATCAGCTCCCTTTTACACTCATTGACAAAGCCCGTGGAGCGTCTAACGAGGGAGCCAGCTTCCACTGTTCATAGGGGGACAAGATGTCTCTGTCGCCTCGGCCCATCGAGACCTCTAGGTTGCAAGGTAGGCGAATGGTTCTCCGCCAGGTCGTGCACGATTCTTGCCCCAAGTAAATATGGCAAATGTTTGCTGTCAGGTAAGGGGCCGCGCCTCGACCTGCGCGCGGTCTTCCCTGAGGTGCTTGAAGGAAGTTTCTTGAAAACCTGGACTCTTTGGGCGATTGGGCCGCAGCCGGCCCCCAGTCAGACTCAAACGAGCCGATGTCACGGATACATGCGGATTCTGCTTCAGTGTGCGCGCAATCCACGAGCAGGCTGCGACAACAGCCGCGCCACTCCCCCAAGCAGCCCTGGAGCCGGAAGACCAGGTGCAGAAGACCAGATATTTGGTGTATTTGTGTGTTTGTATTTTATTTGGTGTGCTGTCTCTTTTGTAATGCTGCATTTTATGCAGCAGCTTGTCCAGCACACGAATATTCGTTTAAAACAAAAAGAGAAGTAAGTCATTATGTGTTTCAGAAAAAGCATCCATGATGTTGTTTGTATTTGGTGCGAGACTCTGCGAGGCGTGTTCTTGACCGTGTTGAACTGTCTTGCGCCATGATTCCTCGCACCATGCACACACGGATGTCAAGAAGCCGAAGCAGAAATGCCCGAGCAAACTCTGTAATAGGAACCGGTAGGTGGCGGCGGCGGGGCGCATGCACACAGAGATGTCATCAATGTGATGTGAAGCAACCATGACTTCTGCTCAGGTAGGTTAAGTTTCGGCAAGCCGCTGTACAGGAGATGGCGGATGACTTCTTCTCTGCTGCCGTCACCGCTTTTCTGTCTGGTGAGTGGATTGGCAATGAATCGTCCTGGAGCTGGATCAAGGCCGAAGCCTTGCCCAGGTCCAAGTCGACGTAGCGCATGTAGACATTCTGACACAGCTCAGCTCTGCTTTCTTTCTTTCCGTTCTCCAGATTTTCCATGGCCTACACTCAGGGGAAGTTGGCCCAGCAAGAAGAGCGGCGGACAGGAGTGGGAGTGGCAGCATGACTGGGAGTGGCAACCAGATCTGGAGTGGCAAAGCGAGTGGGACTGGCAGCGGGTCTGGGAACGTCTCTTTATGTCGCTTGCCGACGCATAAAGACAAAGCCACAAACATGGCCTGCCGCTCCCATTTTGCAGGGCCCAGGGCGTGATGTACTCTCTCTCATCCCCCGCTCCCCATTGCTGAGGATGATGTGGGAGTGGCGCTTTCCGCTTGCGGTTACGGCGACCCTGCTCGTCATTGTTGCATCTGCTGGTATGGCCGCGAGATGCTTAGACTCCGTTTTTCGCAGCGACAAATTTCATGCTTCCTAGTCACTTGTGCCACTTGTGTCGCTGCTGCCTTGCCAGGCGCCGGCAGCCCCTGTAGCGGCCACCATCTCCGCGGGCGCCGCCCCTGCAGTTGGGGCTGCCACTGGCTCCGCGGCCTTGGGCGCCACCGCTGCTGCCGTCAGTTCTTGGATGCTGGCGATCATCCAGGCTGGCGGGAAAAGCGTTCTCCCGACGTCAACTTTCTCCAGTGCAGGTGACAGGCAGCTCTGCTTCCGTGGCCGTGCCTGCCCTGACGTTCTACTATGCCTGGACGTGGCCTGGCCTTTCAGAAACTGAAAGGGGTAGCTTCAGATATTCGCACGACATCGTCCTGTAGCCTCGCAGCATCGAAGCTTGCATGCAGCTGACACACTCAGCGGCCCACCTAGAACATTGCAGAATGCTTTTGGAACGTTTTTCTGTTGCAATCATCCTCAGAGTCAACACATTTGGTTACGAAGCTACTTCTGTGACTAATTAGTGGCCTGCAAATTTTGGAAGCTTCTCCTTACCGTTTCCTGACAGGAATCGCCACTATGTTGAGGCTGTGCCCTGGCAGTGCACACCAGGCATTTGCTCCTGGTTCTCTGTACAGTACTCAGCTGGGGATTGAATCCGTATGAACCTCTTAGGCCATTTTTGGCGCTTTGACCCTGGCGCTTTGTCCCTACGCCTGGCGGGTCTACTGTACAGCCTCACGCCTGGCCAAGCAGGCTCCAACTGCTCTTGGGAGCCTACTTGCCTTAACTTGCCTTATTCCCAGCACTTGCACCCACCATCGTGCGTCTTCTTGCAGGTGGCACCAAAGCCTTCGAAGGCGATCAAGGTGCTGAAGAGCAGCCCCTTGGCCATGTCAATGCATCGACTGCCGCACCGTTTGCCCTCCACAAGACAGGATAGCGTAGGATGCCCCTCACCATCACTTAATTTCGGGACGTTGGTTCTCGGGTCGATCATCAGACAGCTGCAGGCACCAGGCTTCGCGAGCGCGCAGCTTCGGCAGCAACTTCGGTGACTGGCAACAAGGATCGAACGGAGGGCATCAACCTGGTCCGCTCACGGTTGCATCATGTTGGAAGCGCGGATGCAGGCAGCTTTCCCTTTGAGAGCTCCCACAGCCCCCGTTTTGCCGCAAGCACGAGAAGCACGAGAAGCAAGAGGCCTGGGGGCGCTCGTGCAGGTCGAGTCTCTCTCCCTCTCTCTCTCTCTCTCTCTCTCTCTCTCCCTCCCTCTCTCTCTTCAAGTTCAGACTCCGTTTGCAAGCGACAGGTGCCAACGATGGCGTGGCAGCCTTCTCCGCCATCTTCGACGAGGCCCTGGCTGCACGTTTCAGAAGGTTTGACAATGTTTGACGAATCTGAGGTTCCGAAGTCAGAGCCCATCTTACCGGATATCGCGGATGACATCAATCCGGTCAAGGCAGCAGGGAGCTGGATTATTCAGCTGAGAGGTGTCACGGGGCATCCTTGGCCGAACGGCAAGTTCGTGACATTCCTGACGTTCCTGCTTGCACATGTCAGGATCCAGACTTTGAGACAGGTGAGGCTACTGGACCTGACGCAGGTGCATGCGCAACGGGCTAGAGCAATACTTGCCTGCATACCCAGCACCCAAGCACATGACATCCCACCAAATTGACAAAATCCTGCAAACCTCAAAATAGGGCCGAAGGACGGTGAGCTGTCCGTAGAAATGGCGAGCGAGAAGCTTTACAGGAACAACATGACTTGACAAGATATCTGAGACACCTACCAGCCTACCAGACTGACCTTCATACCCCTGTGAAGGGTCTTTTGGCTTATGTAGGAGCACGGGAATCTCCGCAGAGTGCGTGCCCAGAGCATGGCCTTAACCAGGAAAAAAGGCCCACCGTTTAAACGAATCAAGCAACCTTGACAGCCTGTGACAGCCTGCTGCATGCCGGACATGCTTAGGCCTTAGGCATGTTTGCCGGGGCATTGTTTCCTTGCCCGGGTCGCACCCTGCGCCTCATTCCCAGGTGCCAGCAATCCGAGTTCTGCGACCATGCTGGCGCAGCAAAGGAGAAAGAAGTCCAGCCACGTGCTCAGCTGGAAGAGTTGCAAGAGAGCGCGGTCTGTGAACGCTGAATTGAAAGCACAACTGCAAGAACTCTGCAGCTGCGAGGCCAGAGACTTGGAACCTGATGTACAGGCAGGTTTGGGGGGACGTGCCGTTGATACATCCATTGTATACGCCAGTATACGCACCACTTAATTCTGTGGAGTGCTCCTGCGCAGGTGCAGGTGCCAAGCCTCCAAATTCCACCGGCTGTTGCGGCTTTCGCCGCATGTTGGGTTTGCTTCCCAGGTTCAGGGTATGGGGATGTATGGGGTTTAGGTAGGTTTAGGGTGGTCAGTTCCAATGTGCTAAGTCTTTGCAGGGCCTACACCTGGCTACGTCTTGCATCTGCACAGGTCCTACCTGCACAGCCTGGCTTGCATGAATCGGAGGCGGCTCTTCAAGTGTTTACATTCAGTTCTTATAATCTTTCAACCTGAGCGTGGGCTGGTTGTGGGAAACTTCTGCACGGAGCCACCGACCGAAAAAGTTGCCGCCCGTCTGCAGCTGCCCATCTTTGCTTTATGTGCTCCCTTCTCCTGTCTCTGGCGCCCTACCGCAAAAGCAGAAAGCGGCCAGGAGGTATCGGAATCTGGCGATTGAACGTTCTGGGTTTAAGGTCAGCGTATGTTTATTCGCCTCAAAATCCTATCCGATCTTTTTGTTCCAGATTCCCCCCGCCCCCCCCCCAAAGAACATTCCGATGCGCTAGAACCCCACAGGTCTGCATCCAATGGAAACTAAGTGTACCAGCCCACATACGACAGTGCATTTCAATCTTCCATCGTTCATTTCACTTGCTTTTGCCAGCTCATGAGGCTGTTGTCATGCAACTGGCATAGCTGGATGTCCAGAGTTTACGTTCAGAAGCAGGTGCAGGCTCTACATAAGTTGACAAGCGGATCACAAAGATCTGAGGCTGCGGCTCTCTCATGCCGGGTACTCCCACAAACACGCCACAGCATGCTCACATATGATGATGAAAGGAAGGATCATCGGGGCATGGGAGGGTGCTACTTGTTCAAAGAAAAGTGCGTATTACTTCTTGCTTCTTGTGCCATGTATGGCCGTCGCAGCAGTTGGGCTCGATAGCAGCTCAAAGTTTCACCGGCGAAGAACAAAAACTTGCCTTCTTCGTGTCTTGAAGAGAGAGAAGGCTCCATGGCTGAGCCAATGGAGGAGTTGGAGCTGGACACAATCACGCCGCCCCAGAAGAGCGGTCATGAAAAGCCCGGTCGGCTATTGCGAGGTGCCCCTGCGCCGGCGGAGTTTGAAGATGCCATGCGTGAAATGCTGAAGCAGATGCATGAGGACTGCTGTGTAGAATAGCATAGAATAGCGCTGCAAGTTTGTTCGTATTTGGTTGATCATCGGAGCATCGAAGACAAGCCTTTCCATTGATCTTCTGCATCCACCTAGGACATCCTGAGCAAGTTCGATCTTCAAACCGAGCTGATACTTACAGCTTTGAAGCCTTCATCGCGTTCAAAATCACGAACGCCGTGTCTCGGATTTCATGTGCCAGTGGCTTCTGTGCAAGAGTTAGAAGCTACTTGTGAGAGAAGGCGTGCATTTTCGTGAAGGATGCTGACTCCCAATTGCAGTCACTGTCGAATGTGTTACTCGCCTGGAAGCCTCGGAGCCCCTCCGAATCCAAGGACTCGCGGTTCAAAGACAGACACGGCGGTCGTCCGCGAAGTTTCAGTCGCGCCGAGGCAGTGGCATGACAGCATTTCTCCTTGAGCCCGAAAAATAGTTTCAGAGACACGCAGCCAACTTTGGGAAGAACGGCTTCGATGTTGACGCAGTTTAGGATGCGAAAGCTTATAGGCCTGTATCTTGTGCACCAGCAAAAGGAGCTCACCACCATGAGCCCTCTAACAACAAAGTGAGTTCAGACTGGGGCTGCGCGGGCTGCTGCGGTCTATGCACTAAGGAGGCGGTCACTGTCCTTCAATCCCACCTTCTTCCACACCTTTGACGAGCGAGTTCGGAACAGCAATGCATGTGCCAAAGTGTGAGAGACTTGAGACTTTCAGTTGGTTCCAAAAGGGCTTGAAACGAGTTCTGACTGCCATCGAGACTTGGAAGTATTCCAGTCCCGGAGGAGGATGAAAAGCTTCGCAAGGAGGCGGCCCTGGAGGAGTCCAAGCATCACAGCGCTCATTTCAGCAGTGCGACTGGGCAATCGTTAGCTTTTGCTCTGAACAGAAGGCTTGATTCCTGGTTTGATTTGTTTTGTTTGTCGTTTTGTGTTCCTGCACTCTCGTCGGTCCATGGATATCTGGCTGTCCGTTTGCTTCTTGGCTTCTTACACGTGAGGGTTCCGCAGAGGGGCTTGTCAGCTTGTAGAGGTGGTCCGGTTGCTGACAGCCACTTGTCGTCACTGCGGCAAACCGTAGCCTGCAATGACAGTACAGCGCAGCCGACTTCTAATTCATCTTTCACTGTGGTTGCATACGACATACTACCAGCCCTGTGCGTACAAGCGTTGCTCCATGTGCGGAGACTTCGTTTCCCAAAGGTGCGGTAAGCAAGCATGAAAATCTGAGCTGCAGATCACATCAGATCGCATTTGCCCAGGCCAGCTCAAGTCATGACAAGCAGCTGAACACCAGATGCAGATGCTTGGGCAGGCTGGCCGAAAAACGTCGTTCAAATGCAGAGACTACAGTTGTTTGGGCCTTTGCTCATGTGACGCGGTGATGCAGGCTGCGGATCCAGGAGTAGGGGTTTGCGCATTTAGGGGCTGTTCATGTTTCAGGCTGGTGAGAAGCAATATCTTCGAGATGTTTTTTATGTGCGTGGTCGTCACAAACTGCATCTTCATCGGAGTTGAGGTGGAGCTGAACAGACAACCTCAAGGAAATAGCCCCGTGATTATCCAGACGGTGCAATATGTTTACACTACACTATTTACGCTTGAGCTCGCGTTCAGGCTCGGAGCTCATGGCAAGAGTTTCTTCTGTAGTGCGGAATGGCTTTGGAATTGGCTTGATATCTTCATTGTGCTAACTTCGCTCTGGGAAGTGACCACCGATGCCATCGAGGGCTTCGTGAGCCTTGGAAACGCGGGCGATCAGGGCAACGCCTTGGAGGGGATGACGGGTCTTAAGGCCTTCCGAGTTATCCGCATCACACGCATCGCCAAGACAGTTCGGCTCCTCCACGTTTTTCGCTTTATCTTGGCACTACGGATGCTGGTCACATCAATCCTCAGCACCCTGAAGTCGCTGGTATGGGCTTTAGTCCTTTTGCTCTTGATCGTGTACGTATTCGCCGTGCATTGCTCAGCTTTCTTCGTCCAGCTCTGGGCAACGTCATAGTACTTCTGAGCACTCGTGGGCGACTAAGGTGCTGTTTACCCAGGCCGCTGAGGCAGAAACCTCTGCGGACCTTGACCGATTATATGGCTCTTTGCCGATCCTCTGGCCAGCAAACTCACTGTCACGCAGAGCGTGGGATTAAAGATAGTCTACGTAGGGCTGTTCGTGGTTTGCAGGGGCTCCCGAATTGTGTGTACGTACCGCCCTTCTGAAACCAGGAGAACGATGCTCAGCCTTTTCATGAGCATTGCGGGAGGTATCAGCTGGGTGGAGCTAGTGGTGCCACTGGAGTCACTTTCTCTTGCTTGGGTGCTGCTCTTGCTCTTCTACATATGCTTTACGTATTTTGCTGCCCCTAGTCCTCACGCCAGTATCCTTGTCGTGTTGTCGTGCTTCATGTTATGACAATCGACAACGTGGTTTGAGTAGTTGACCCGGAGATTCCCACCTGTTCGTTGCGACGATCGCAAGATGCAGGTGCTCAACGTCGTGACGGCTGTGTTTTGTGGTGCGCTGAGTTGCGACACTCACGTGTGGCACTTGTGTTTCATGATGTTTTCCATTGCAGCTGCAAGATTGTTTCGGAATGTCCGGTCGCTCTTTGCTCGCCGAATTCCAGAAGTGGTCGACCTGAACAAAGCGCTTCAAAGCTCTCCCTCCCTTTGTAACTCGCCCTTATGCTGCTTGTTGGATCAAATGTCGCAGCAACAATGTAAAGCCTTCGTGCTCCAGAACGTCACGCACAGTGGGGCAAAGTGAATGTAAGGGCGGAATGGCCCCCAGGTTCGAAGTTCTACGGAAAGTGGACGATGCTCAGTCGCTCTTTTTACTTCTAACTGTAGAGCAGTGGTTGCTAACGGTGCTAGCACATTTAGCATATTCACTGACGAAAATCCAGCTGCGGACCTCCGTCATTGACTCCGCAGAAGGCAAGACGCAAAGCCAGACGCATCTTCAAGCATGCTTTGGGACTTCTGTACTTTCCTCTTCAACAGCTCTAAGGGTTCTCCGAGTGGATTTCGAATACTCGCATGAAGCAAGACATAACCCCCCAAACCTCGAACCTGTGGCCTCAGGAAACCGAAAGTACCTAAAGCCGAAGCAAACCTTCAACTTACAAAAGAATGAATAAAGCTGTGAACCGTCGGGAACCCGCAGGATAGGGGACCATTAAGGGATTATGACAAAGGACTTTAGGGCACATTCACACCAATGAAGGCTATTACGCCCCATGATGCAACGTAATTCTTACCCACTTTTCTGGCGCGGGGCTGCAGCTAATCTGGCGCCGGTTTCATGCGCGTACAATCAACCCCGCCTCATAACGGAGAGGACAAAACATGCTCCAAAGCATAAAAATGGCCACGTCCATCTCCCCTTATGAAAATTTCCCCTGTGCACTGCAGAAAAGAAAGGTTTGTCGAATTCCGCCGTGGTTGATTGACAGCCTTCGTTTTTGCCAGCAGTTGTGCAGGCAGACATTGGGCATGTTGAGGCTCTACTCGTAGCTTGTTTCTGGAGGTGGGGCACAGTCATGGATGAGCTCCGCAGCACAAGGGTCACAGGACATTGCTTCTGATACCCGACACACAATCCGCCCAAGCCTAAACCTCAAAACCTTCGCTTCGCCCTTTCTGGCCAGAACAAGTCCGCGCTGGTGGTTTTTCCTGAGGCTTCATCATGTTTCATGTTGAGGTGTTGCGATCAGCCTAAGGCGGGGCCCCAACGTACACAGGTTAGCGGTCACCTTCAGGCAAACAAACTTAGACGAAGCACCACATGTGCTGGTTGTCTTGCTGCGAAGCTGCTTGCAATCGTCACCACTGCTGATGCGCAAGCTGAGCAAAGGAGGTTGCTCTTCGGCTTGCTGAGGCCAAAGCGCAATCGAGGGGGCACAAAACGATCATGCGGCTAAAGTGCAAGCAGTGCTCCTAGACAAGAAGAACCACCTGGACAAGGTGCGTGCTCTCTTCAGTGAGTTTGGAGCCGATGATGGAATCATCACGTTTTCCATGTTCCAAGACAAGATCAATGGCCAAGCTGTAAAGGATTACTTTTCTACATTGGGCTTGGATGTCTCTGATGCATGGAGCCTATTCAAGCTTCTTGACACCGATGGGGGTGGGGCGGTGGAGGTGGAAGAATTTCTAATGGGTTGCTTAAGATTGCGCGGCCAAGCCACTGCCATGGACGTTGCAAAGCTTATGAACGACGTCACCTGGCTCGTCAAGAATCAAGGACCCGATCGCACTCCTGCACGACGCTAAGAGTACAGAGATTGCGCCTAGCTGGCATCTCTTTTCAACACTAGCTCGGGATGACTAGGCCCTACTAACGACGCATGAGGGCGTGGGCGTGCTCCAGGGTCCCTATGTGTATCGTTCCTCTTGCCGCCTTGCCTGTGCTGCAGGATACTTTCAGACCTACGTTGAGGTAGAGCTGAAGCACTTGCGAGATGATCTCTTCGGTCGACAAAGTCGTTTGGAGGGCATGTCTCAAAACGAGAGTCGCGGATCTCCGGGAAGTTGCCCCGGCAACATTGGTGGGTAATGGGTGCTCTCAGGCTCCGTACCCAAGCCCAAGCACACCAAAAAACACCCCAAAGCCACTAAAGCCACACATCGCTTGCTGGCTTGGGCTGGGTACGGTGCCGTCTGCCTCCACGGCACGTTGAGGACAACCGTGACCTGTATGAGATTAAGGGTGGCAATGGAAAAGACCGCTGGGGGAAGAGCATTTGGGCATGCATTGGGCCTAAGCCGCACGGGCGGCTCGGGGAAAGTGGCGCGAAGTGGGGACAAACTTTGAGGTTTTTGGGAATAATTCTTTCTATTCATTATTATTTCATATCTAGAGTATCGTATATTGAAAAAGATTCAATCGGCCGAAAGATTCTTCAAAAACTCAAAATCCTATTGATTTTCGATATTTTCAATTTCAATCGAAATCATGACGGCATGGTCTTCTGTCTCGTTTGATTTTGTTTGATTTTGTGGCATAGAAGGTGCATGGCCCCTGCGCAAGGATGATCGATATGTCGCAAGGTGCATGGCCCCTGCGCAAGAATGACACGCTGCCATGATCCGTCATGGCTCAAGCCTCTTGAAAGAGGGAGTGGGTGTTTGAGGGTTTTTGGTTGGGGGATTTTGGGGGGGTTGATGATAGACTCCCAAGGCCCAGTTCGAGATGGAGGCTCGTGAGATAAGTAGCCCTGATATCCTAGCCCTAACCCCACGTCACCAACAGGTGATGAGCCCAAGCTCAACTGTCCTCCAACATCATGTCAACATGCAGCAGCAGCAACAGCATCAGCATCAGCAGCAGTAGCAGCAGCAGCAGCAGCAAACTTCAGCAAGTCACGAGGCGAGCATTTTGTTGCGACAGCTGACGCAGATTCAGATCCCCACAGCGGCTTTGGATCAGTTGCATCTTGTTGGAGTCTCCGTGGAGCGGTATCAAGGTACAATGGAGGCCTTGTATCATGGGCTGTCATTCCTAGCGCAAGAGCTGCATGATCGAACTAACGGTTTGGGAGATCACTTGAGAGCCCAGGCAGGACGCTCGGAGCTTTTGTCCCAGATGATGCAACATGTGGCCCGGGCCATCGTCCCTCGGCTGTCTCGCAGCTGAAATTTCCGCTTTCCGGCCCAAAGCTTGCCAGCGTGTTCAGACAGATCATGCAAAACCGTACCCGCAGCTGCGGCAAGGTACTCATAGAGTGATCGCGGTAAACAACTCAAGCACGTAGTCAGATTTGCTGACCAGCACCTGTTAGCTTATAGTTAGTTAGGTTAGCTTCTCCTATAGATCCCAGCCCTTGTCCTAAATCGCAAGCCCGCTTGCCTGAAGCATGGCACCCCTCCCGGCCCCTGGCCCCAGCAATTGTGATTCAACACCAGACCCAAGGAAAATTTAACGACTTGATCTGTTCTAAGCCATATCCCAGACCCCCAGACCCGTAAATAAAAACAAGACATATATGTACATATATATATATACGTATACTTATTTATAAATATATATATATATACATATAAATATCTGAAACATTATGTACAGATATACACATATAATTCTACATGCATGGATGAATAGAATATATATAGAAATTATATATATATATATATTTTTTTTTCTCATTGATTTTATGCTTAGTTCCCTATTGATTTTTATGATGATTTCTCGAATGGTTTTCATCCATTTCTATTGATTTTTTATTGAATTTCATTCAAGAAGCTTGACTTTTGTATTTTTCGAAATCCTCTTATTCATTGAAAAAATAATATCTGATATTCTGGAAATATTCTTAGGAATTCTAATTTACGAATTTGGATAAATTTATTTTTCATTTTGAAAAATTTGATAAATTATTCGAGATTTCTGTTCGGCAGCCTCCCCGATACAAAAAAAATAAGAAAAAGGTTTTTGATCTCAAAAGCACCAAATTGGTTGCTATATATCAAATTGGAGAGAAAGAAGATTTATGTTTCTCTCACCACCATATATATATTTATATATATATTCGAATATTTGATAGATTAGATATATTATATATTCGATCATCTACGATTTTGGGCACGAAATTCTCTTGAATATATTGGAGTTTTTGGGTGAAGAAGATAATCTAATTTATTCTTTTAATTGAAATAAATAATTCTCTTGAAATATTGATGGAGAAGATATAAATTTTGCTAAATTGATGATCTAGAAATATTCTTTCTTAATACTAATGATTGAAATGGGAAATTCTGGGATATTTTATTCTGATTAAGATATCCCAACTCAAAAGCTCTAAGGTGCAAGAGACTTGTGCTCCCAAAAGCACCAATTCATATCTAAATCTTCATTGAGAGAGATTCGGCGGCGCCATAGAGACTTCTATCCCCAAAGCACCACTTGAAAGGAGACGTATGCTCCCATGATATCGGATGCCCTAACATCCAGACACACAAAAGGCAGCAACGAAAGCAATCAAGGGACCCAAGGCACATTAAAAGCCCGCCACCACCCCGAATTAAGCCCCAGGTCCCACGATCGCGGGAGACGAGAAGAACACAGTTGGCATCCGAATTCCCATCTTGAAATGAACAACGAACGTGAAACACGAGAAATGAAACAACCTCCTTCGACAGCAGTATTCTTTGATACCATGAGAACTATCGATCATCTCAAGACCTGCGCGAGGGGCCTGTGGCGAGGAACATCATTTTCCTATAGAAAAAGCCAGCGCCGATCACCACCCTGGTAAACGTAAGTAATCTTCAAGCAAGCACGAAATTCTCTGCAAGTATCTCAGGCTCCCGGCGATGAACCGTGCGACGGCGCTCCAAGCAGACATGCACGTGGCGTTGCAAGAGTATAGAAATACGCTCCTGCAACAGGCTCCGCGTTCGGCCTGGCGGCCGTCCGAGGGGTTCATCTGCAGCTTTGCACAACGAGTCCAGTATACGTCGTCCCTCTACATTCAAACCACCGGCATAGTCGAACACAATCGGTTCAAAACCTATCCCTTGCTCATGACAACGTTGCTGGATTTGTCGATTCGTTCGCTTCTGTTCAGCGTACCGTTCCGTATTGGAGACGCTACCACCAGCAATAAACTGAGAAACTATCGCAAAGTCCAGTGCCACACGTGGGAGGAAGTTCCAAGCGGATTGTCTACACAGAGGGGTCGGGATCGTGAGGATATCAGCTGGTCGAAGATCGGGCGTCGCTGGCAACAAGCCACTCGGTTCTAACTTCAACCCAATACCACCCCCTGAAAGACCTCGAAAAATCTCGTCTCGAACACAATTATGAAGTGGCGTTTTACCGATCATCGGACAAGCGATACAATGATGACCCCAACTATCCGAAACTTGGGGGCACATACCACATCCTTCATCTCCGTCAAATACTTGAAGACCAAGTCGCATCGATAAAGCATCAGAAAATGCAACATTGGTAAAACAAGTCCCAAACGTGAGATTCGGAGCACTACACACCCACCCATCAGCCCAACTCTCGCCGTAAGATTTCATTCTCGTGAGATCCAACGAAGAGAGGGTGCCAAGAAATGTTCTGCGCGACGCCTCCACTCCTTGCGCAACCAGCTCCTGAAATTTCAACCTCGTATCATCCCGCTGAAAAGCATCCTTCCAAGTGGGACACAGGGCTTCAAGGCGCTGAGTGGCAACCGCCCACCCCAAAATAGAATAGTTAGGATGAAGAGTGACCAACTGAGCACATAACTCCGACGTAAAGCGAGAGGCCACAACGTACGCAATATCAGCCCGATGACAGTCGTGATCTCCTATGGGAAACGATTCTGGGGTCAATCCAAGGCCACCATGCTTCGGATGGAGACACGCCTGGCGCCACGAAACATCCGGAATCGCACGCCCCAAAATATTCTCTAGGGCCTGGCGGTACCTAGCATCATACCACGTGAATAACCCTTCCAGGAAGTGGCGCGGGGAGGTTCGAGCAAGGAATTGCAGTTGACAGAAACCCATTGTCTTCTGGAGAAGGTGGAAGGCAACATGACGACTCTGTAATTGTTCCAAAGCTCGGAACAATTGTTCGAAGCGGGCGATTTTGCCATCACAAAGTTCTTTCATGAAGGGAGTCTGCCCACAAACCGGAGCTTTCAACATCTGGATATCGGTACCGGTTTGAATCCGAACTCCGAGAGCTTGGAAACCCGACACATCTCCGCGAAACTCATCCCCCGCCAGCAAATACAAAGTGCATTGCGACAGATCGTACGAAAATCCATACTTCTCAGCGAGTTTGATTTCTTCCCGGAAACAACGGAGAACATCTTGGACCCGACCGCCACTAAAACTGTCATCAGCGTACTCCGGCTCAAAAGGGGGCGAACTCCCGGCGGCCTCCCGAGCTTCTTCGGCATGACGCCTCCGCACCAAGCAGAACAAGGCCATCATGAGCGGACAACCTTGTTGCCCTCGAGAACTGGGGTACAGTTCGCCTTCGTATACTAAATGGGAAGGAGCTCCATAGCACCATTCAGCGAAACGAGACGAAGCCGGAGCGTATTGTCTACAATCGATGAGGAATTCGTGGGGATGAACAGTGTTGAAGGCGTTTTTCACATCCTTCTGCAGGAGCACCATGTCCTGGTTACACTTGTTCTGAGCAACCCACATTCGAGTTGAGTGGACGAGAGCCTCCGCTCCCCCTCCTACCGCGACAGCGAGCTGACGAGGGAGAAGTCGAGCCTTAATCGTACCCGAGTCAAGCCTAAACGAACATTTGAAGGCGAGTTTACGGAAAACTTGTCCCATGACTATAGGACGAGCGTCCTGGTCGAGCGCGACAGGGTGCCCTGACTTGTCGACCTTGCCAACCCCGACCAACGTCCCACCAGCCATCCATGGCCGCAAGCCTTCAGGTAACTCAGCGTCGACAACGATCCGAATGAAGCGATGAAGCGTCATCAAATATTCAGAATCCAACGAATGACCCACAAATCCTTTCAAGAAATCGGCTCGAAGACCGTCAGGGCCAGGCCCCGAACCAGTAGGAAACGATTTGAGGGACTGGAACAGAACATCCAATGGGATCTCTGGGGTCGGCGGCAGCGCGGTGCGTTGAAGCTTTCCAGCTGGGCTCGGAGGAAATTTCGCAAGCAATTTTTGACGAATTTGCTCATTGGAAGCGGCCAAACCCGGGGAGACTAAACGTTTCATCGCTTGCCCCGAACGCCCCAAAGCCACCAACCGTCTAACCTCGGCCTCTCTACGTTCCAGAGTCTGGTTCGAGTCTCCCCTTGGTTTGCGAGTACGAGCAGCCATCACCGCCTCATCCCATAAGCCCTTTCGTTCTCCCAATCTCCACCGAATCAAAAGGGATTTCGTGAAGGCAATAGCTTGACCACGACGTTGGCCTCTCCGATTTTGCCTACAGACACTTTTGGGAAACATCAGTAACTCAATCCACGCCCTGCGAGCTTGGGCTTGCCCTACAGTGTCGTCTCCAACGCCTCGACCTCCTACTTCAGTCGGCAAAGGATCCCATGCGTCAAGTCGGTTTTGAGAAACAACAGCAGAAAGCAGTTTAGCATACTCGATCCGAACCAACGGCCAAACCTCTGCCGGGAGATAGTCTTTAGTGAAGATCGGACAAGTGAAGATATCCTGTAGAGTTGGAAGATCGTCCTGCGCGGAGTGAGGGGTCACAAGATGACCAGATGGTCTAACTTGAGGCCAACATTTAGCGTGGACTCCGGAAGCTATACGAGTGCTCAAAGTTTTACCACACACTCGACAACCCTGCCAACGTTGCTCGTGTAACCAGGCGTCGCTTGGACGCCCCTGTAATTCCCCGATGCAGTGCAAATCGACATGAGCTCTCAAAGCCTCCTTTGATTGCCAAGCTGGTCCCACACCCCGACTCCTAGCACAACCCGCGATGGGACAATACAATGTGTGCTGCACACTCCGCGGTCCACTTGGCAATGAGTCCCGAGCCAATTGTTGGATTTCTTCGATACCGCACCCAAATAATTCAGCCAGCTCAGCATCTGCACCAACCGAATCTCGGGCATCAAAGATTCTCACCTGATCTTCGTCCACTTCCATGTCCGCAACCCCTCCGAGAGTGGAAGACGCTACCTCTCTTGGAAAAGCCGGGTACGACCCTACGATTGCAAGCAGCAACAAACGTCCCCCGATAGGCATTTGTTTACTCAACCAAAATCCTCCCAACACCGAAATACCTCGACAGATACTCCGATCGAAATTAAGATATCCCCCCCATTTAGATGACATATAAATAATGGAAGATATCTATAATATAATACAAATGATATTTTTGTTTTTAAATATATCATAAAAGAATCTATATCCATGAAAATAAGAAAAAATATCGAATTCTCTAAATATTTTCCAATATAAGGGGATTCATAATCTCTCTCTTGAGCTTCTCGAATGAGAAATCTCTCTCGAAAGCGAGATATAAAAGCACCAATTCTCTGCAGTCCCAGTGCAAGAGGCTTCTGCTCCCAAAAGCACCAATTAAGTGTCGTCCAGAATACAACCAAGCCAAGCAGACCCAGTTCGTCATCTCGAGACTCCCAGTCGTGCATTGAAAGACCCACCGCCACCCCCAATTCACCAGGAATCCCGAGAAGACGAACGCACAACGAAAACACACACACACCCACACGACACAGACGACGACTCCTTTGAAAAGGAAGACTTGTGCTTCCCGATACATTACCACGATCGATAAAAAAGACCTTGTCACCCTCAGCGGTCAGGATCGCTCCACAATCCGCATGCGTCTACGTCGTAAAGGGGTCGGCTACACCTGCGCGGGGGAGTCGAACCTGGCATGTCGAATATCGAAAGGTTGGTACGGGTGACTCAAAAGAGAAATTTCAAAAGAGTTCGATTACATCATCAAGCATCGGAAATTTCACAACATATTCTCCTGAAGGAAACGACCAATGGCCCCTTGGGCCACATCAGTTGACGCCTGTGCTGCACGACACTTATGCAGGATGTGAGAGAGTCCCCTCTGAATGTCAATCGAGAGTCGAATTTTCAGGTCTTGTTTTGTAGTACCCAAAGGAGAATTCGTAGCTCGATCGCACTCCTGACATATACTCTTCAAAAGCCCGCGTGCGCCCATCTCGCAACCACCTGTTGTTTCGAATACAATAGGTTCAAAACCCAAGTTCTGGGCCTGACAGGCCGTCTCGGTGTTACGATCCCGACGCTTACGCTCGGCATATGCCGCAGCGGCCACACCCGAACCCGACGCGGCCGATCTGAAAATAGAAGCGGCGTACGGCGATACCAAAGCGATGTCCAGGGCCAAACGAGGATATTTCCGCCATGAATTTTGTTGGAGAAGAGGAGTGGCAATGCAGAGAATATCCACCGGGCGTCTGCCCTCGGCATTTGGCAATAGCCCCGCCGCCTCAAGCCGTGGCCGCATCCCAGCCCGTTCCGCGACCGCATAGATCGAATCGCGAAGGGTATAGTGCATGCGGGTGCGAGCTCCTCCTGCCATACATGTCATCGAATGATGTCCCAAAGAATCCATGGCTTGATGACAGAACGGACAGTGCCCTCCCGAAGTCAGAGTTTCCAATCCAAGTCGCAGAGAGAGAGAGTCAAGGACTGCAACATTAGAGAGGAGAGTATCTGAACTCATGTTAGGCGTTCCGATGAGCCAACCATCGCCCCATGGGAGCTGACATGCTCGAATCCTGAGCGCGTCGCTCGTGGAGGATCCTTGTATGAGACAGTCGCTACTTTTCTGAATGGCTACCTGAACCAATTCACGATGATTCGGGCAAGTCGTACCATGAACCTGGGAAACATTTGGGAGAAAAGGGGCGAGGTTCTGAAAAGCATGGGTATCAGCAGGATCAGGATGGGCATGGATGATTTCTTTCAATATCTCTTTGATAGAGCCAGAGACCTGTCGAACGGAACAAAAGAAAGCCAAGTCACTCCGGTGAACCACGCCCCCACTCACCCGAAGCTCATCCACACTAAGCCCAAGACCTCCGAATTTCGTGGGCAATGTTGCCTGCTGCCATTGACTGTCTGTCAGTTCTTGTGCGACGAGTCTCTGCAGCGTAGTGCGGAGTTTGCCACTATGAGCCTCCAAAACCGGCGCAAGATGACGCCTCGGAACAGTCCTCGCGTAATACGCCAATTTCGGGAAGCTCAAACATTGCTTCATGAGATGGAGGGAGATATGTTTGTGGGGGAGTGTCTCAATGGCAGTGAGGGCTTGATCGAGGTCACCGACCTTCGTGCGATTCCACTCATCGTACAATGATGTTGGACCAATCAGGGGTACCTGCAGCATCTGAACATTGGTTCCTTTGATGATGTTAATTCCCAGTGCTGTGAACGGCCGCAAGTCGCCTTGGAAATCGTCCCCGGCAAGGATATGTAACTTTGTCTTACTCAGATCGAAGTGTAGGCCGTACTTCCCTGCGAGCGCGAGCTCCTGTTCAAAGATCGCCCAAACCAGTGAGATCGGACCCCCGCAGAAGCCGTCATCAGCAAACTCAGGGTCGAAGCACTCGGCCGCCCCCCTTACATTAGCGCACGCCTCCTCGTACATACGCTTGCGTGCAAGGCAGAAGAGCGGTCCCATGAGCGGACAACCCTGTTGGCCTCTGGCTGACTGCATACACCGACCATGGTAAACTAAGTGGCTCGGTACCCCGTAGCAGAACTCGGCAAACTTGCTGGAGGCGTGGGCGAAGCGATAACACTCGTCCAAAAACATGTGAGTGTGCACACTATTGAAGGCGTTGGAGACATCTCTTTGGAGCAATACATAGTCTCTTCTATGGGAATTCAATCGCAACCAAGCCCTAGTAGCATGAATCATGGCCTCAGCGCCGGACCGCACGCCAACGGCAAATTGCTGGGGGGCAAGACGCTCCTGAATCCGAACCTTATCCAAGAGAAACGTGGTTTTGAAGCATAATTTCCGCCAAGTAGTGCCCATCACAATCGGACGAGCATCTTGCGAAAGCGGAATGGCTTGTCCCTGTCCATCCCTTTTACCTATTCCCACTAGGGTTCCACCCCCTATCCATGGACGCAGCTCGAGCGGCGCACGTCCATCAACGAGAAGCTGGACGAAATCCCTCAGAACCCCTAAGAAGGTATCGCCTCCTGGGCTTTCGAGCAAGAGGCGAAGGAAGTCAGCCCGGAGACCGTCCGGCCCGGGCCCCTTCCCATGTTCGAAGGAACGCAACGCCTGGGCAACCACTTCCTCGGGGAGTTCTGGGGGAGTTGCTGGCGCGAGTGCGGGGTGCCGAGGGGGCTGCACGGGATCGGGAAACTTGCTTGCCAATTTAAGTTGAACTGCTGGGGTATCGTGCGCGAGTCCTGGTGATAGCAGACGTTGAAGAGCCTGGCCAGAACGGCCCAACATGACCATACGTTCAACATCTCTCTGCGTCTGTTCGGGCTTAGGGCCTGCGGAGGTCGGCTGAGGCTGAGCGCGTTGGTTAGCTTGGAGCGCTTCATGCCAAAGGGAAGCCCTTTCCCCTAATTTCCAGCGGATGAGAAGGGCACGAGAGAAATGGAGGGATTGGCGGGGTCTCTTGCCTCTGCCAAATTGGCGTAACACAACTTTCGGAAACATGAGTAGCTCAAGCCAAGCAACACGCGCTGCCTGCTTCTCGGGGGAGTCCGAGTCCGTTGCCCATGCGTCCCATCGGTTCGTTTGCAATACTCTAACCAAACACTTACCAAATTCTTCTCTAGCCATGACGACCAATGACTTAGGATAGACCTCCTTCGTGAAGACCGCTTGGGTGAAAATATCTTGTAAAGATGGGAGCGGAGAGAGGTCTTCGGATGAGGCACATACGTTGACATTGGTAGTCAGGAGCCTAGGCCAACATCGAGAATGGACCCCTTCATGACGTTGCATACTAGCAGTCAAACCACAAACCCTACAGCAACCGAGCCTTCTATCCCGGAGCCATTGTTGAGATGGTCGCCCCTCCAATTCACCAGAAAGATGAAGATCGACGTGGGCCCGAACTGCGTCGCTGCTACGCCACCCAGGCCCACCTCCACCAATGCTTCTAGAACAACCCTCCACCGGGCAATAGAGAAGCTGACGGTGCGCCTTAGCACGGCCTGCGCCCTGTTCCTCCAACAAAAGTTGCCTAGGAGAGACGTCCTCCCCGAATAATTCTTGCAACATGACTGAAACCGAACTCTCACCCAATTCATGCGCTCCAGAGGCCTCCACGTGACCCAATGCTTCGGCGGCACTACGCCTAGTCCCACGACCAGGGCCCTCTCCAGAATCGACCTCCATCGCAGATCCCGCGTCATTGGGATACGCAGGAAACCTCCACACGAAGCAGAGGACGACACACCTTGCTAGGACGCCCATGTGATGAGTACATATCCAAGCGCCTCCGACTGATATGAGCCGGCAAAGAGCGAGCGAGCAGTGATATCGGTTCCAGAATGCCCAAGTGCCACAAATGAGCAAGTTCATCCGCGGCACATCTCCGTATTGCAACAAACTCCAATACATGATTCCAAAATAGAATAGAGGCACTAATCCCTTTCCATCAAGCGGAATATAATTGAGTTTGAGGGATCGAATACGTTCTCCCAAAGTCCCAAAGAAGTGAGAGAGAAACATACCGCATGCGTATGATAATCGAAATAAGACGATACCGATCGTTATGGTGAAATACGCTCCCATCAACAATCCCACCCCGACTTGTCGAGGCATCCAGCCCAAATGGCCGCCTTGGTGGAGACTCATCCCCCCATTGGAGGCCGCCGATTGTCGACAACCACTGGCTGATACGGCACAAGATCTAAGATGGAGCAAATAAAAGAGAGCTGCTGCAGACTGCCAACCAAGCCGACGTCGAGCCCGTAGCTCCCCTGCAGAAAGCCCATGAAACACCCCGCGCCCAACAAGGCACCCTGTGACAGCATCCATCCCGCCAGGATCTCCATACCTACACCGGTGCAGAAGAAACGCCACGAGACCTACCACTACCATAGAACGACATCGGCCCTTTCTCCTTGAACCCCGGCAAGGCCCGAGACCCTGGAGCAATTGACTGATGTGCAACCCACAACACATGCCCAATCCCAAGCACAAGAACAACAAGCCTACGCCCCAAAGCCCCTCCATCCCGCGGTAAGGGGGGACGCACCACATGCCCATCGCCGCGCGCGGCAGCCCAGGACGGGTCAGCAGCACAAGGGGCCCATGGCTCAAGTGAACCGTAACCCGTATTAACAACCCCAAGAACCAGCACTTACTCTCTTCTACTTTGAAAGCGAACAAGACGTAGACCCCCTAAACCTTAAACCCTACTCCACACTCTTCAGGTTATCGACAAGAAAAACCTACTGAAAAATTTTGATTTTAATTTCAATCTATCCCTGCCGAACAAAAAGCGAAAAACGAGCCGGGTTTAGTTGCCACATTTAGACTTTCGGCAGCAGCCGAGCTGTCCAGCCTTCAATTGTAGGTGCCAGATGCCAAATAGCTGGGCACCCTCAAAATATCTTCAGCTTCATTCTAATGTCAGGACGGTAAGAAAAATGGACGAGTTGTATGTGGCCTGATGTTGTAAGATGCAAATCTTAATTAATAAGTAATTAACAATTAATTAATAATGAGTTAATAATGAATTAATAATTGATTAATAATGAATTAATAATGAATTAATAATGAATTAATAATTAATTAATAATTAATTAATAATTAATTAATAATTAATTAATAAGTAATTAATAATTAATTAATAATTAATTGATAATTATTGAATAAATAATGTATTAAAATTTTAAATTCATTAATTATAATGAATTTTAATGAATAATAATTAATAAATAACTATAATTTTAATTAAATAATAAAAAAAATAAAAATTTAAAAATTAATTAATGAATAATTAAGTAATATTATAATTTAATTAATAATTAAAAAAAAAAATAAAAATTAAAAATTAATATAATAATGAATAATTTATGATAATAAGTAAAACAAAATCAATAATTGATTTATATAATTAATTAATATAGAAATTAATTAATTAATAATTAGTCAACACAAATTCATTAAAAATTAATTAATAATTTTCATAATAAATTTATAATCAATTATTAATTAATTAATAATTAATTAATGAATAATTCATTAATAATTCATGAAAAAATTATAAATCAATGATTAATTCATTATTGATTAATTATTAATGCATTACGAATTAAAAAATAATTCATTAATTATTAATTACTACTTAATTAAAAATCAATAAATAATTATTAATTGATTATTAATTAATTCCTCACATCTTTGTGTGGGGTCCCGCCGCCGCCTTCTCCTCCTCTTTCTCCTCCTCCTCCTTCTCTTTCTTCTCCTTCTCTTCTTCCCCGTCCTCCTCTTCCTGTTCCTCATGACGCACCATCACGCACAGCACGCATCATGCATCACATCACGATCACGCACATCACGCACATCACGCATCACATCACGCACATGACGCGGTGTCACGCATGAAATCACATCACGATCACGCACATCACGCATCACATCACGCACATGTCGCGGTGTCACGCATCAAATCACACATCACGCGCATGGCGCGACACAGGCGTCGTTTCTGCTGACAGGCGCGGTACTTAGGGGCCCTGGACTCTTGCCGCGCGCGCGCTGGGCAGCTCGCCAAACGCTGGCAGGCGCGACGCATGCGTCGTTTGTGCTGGCAGGCGCGGTACTTAGGGGCCCTGGACCCTTGCCGCGCGCGCGCTCGGGCCGCGGGAAACGCTGGCAGGCGCGACACAGGCGTCGTTTGGGCTGGCAGGCGCGGTACTTAGGGGCCCTGGACCCTTGCCGCGCGCGCGCTCGGGCCGCGGGAAACGCTGGCAGGCGCGACACAGGCGTCGTTTGGGCTGGCAGGCGCGGTACTTAGGGGCCCTGGACCTTTGCCGCGCGCGCGCTCGGGCCGCGGGAAACGCTGGCAGGCGCGACACAGGCGTCGTTTGTGCTGGCAGGCGCGGTACTTAGGGGCCCTGGACTCTTGCCGCGCGCGCGCTCGGGGCGCGGGAAACGCTGGCAGGCGCGACACAGGCGTCGTTTCTGCTGGCAGGCGCGGTACTTAGGGGCCCTGGACCCTTGCCGCGCGCGCGCTCGGGCCGCGGGAAACGCTGGCAGGCGCGACACAGGCGTCGTTTGGGCTGGCAGGCGCGGTACTCAGGGGCCCTGGACCCTTGCCGCGCGCGCGCTCGGGGCGCGGGAAACGCTGGCAGGCGCGACGCAGGCGTCGTTTGGGCTGGCAGGCGCGGTACTTAGGGGCCCTGGACCCTTGCCGCGCGCGCGCGCTCGGGCCGCGGGAAACGCTGGCAGGCGCGACACAGGCGTCGTTTGTGCTGACAGGCGCGACACAGGCGTCGTTTGGGCTGGCAGGCGCGGTACTTAGGGGCCCTGGACCTTTGCCGCGCGCGCGCTCGGGCCGCGGGAAACGCTGGCAGGCGCGACACAGGCGTCGTTTTTGCTGGCAGGCGCGGTACTTAGGGGCCCTGGACCCTTGCCGCGCGCGCACTCGGGCCGCGGGACACAAGCGTCGTTTGGGCTGGCAGGCGCGGTACTTAGGGGCCCTGGACCTTTGCCGCGCGCGCGCGCTCGGGGCGCGGGAAACGCTGGCAGGCGCGGTACTGAGGGGCCTTGGACCCTTGCCGCGCGCGCGCTCGGGCCGCGGGAAACCCTGGCAGGCGCGACACAGGCGTCGTTTGGGCTGGCAGGCGCGGTACTTAGGGGCCCTGGACCTTTGCCGACCGCGCGCTCGGGCCGCGGGAAACGCTGGCAGGCGCGACACAGGCGTCGTTTCTGCTGGCAGGCGCGGTACTGAGGGGCCTTGGACCCTTGCCGCGCGCGCGCTCGGGCCGCGGGAAACGCTGGCAGGCGCGACACAGGCGTCGTTTGGGCTGGCAGGCGCGGTACTTAGGGGCCCTGGACTCTTGCCGCGCGCGCGGTCGGGCCGCGGGAAACGCTGGCAGGCGCGACACAGGCGTCGTTTGGGCTGGCAGGCGCGGTACTTAGGGGCCCTGGACCCTTGCCGCGCGCGCGCTCGGGCCGCGGGAAACGCTGGCAGGCGCGACACAGGCATCGTTTTTGCTGGCAGGCGCGGTACTTAGGGGCCCTGGACCTTTGCAGGGGCGGCCTGCGTTGGGGTTGACATTCATTACCACCTAGACGATTGTCCTGTGCAAGGCCTGGCCGCAGCCCCAGTCATAAGGTTTTGCAGTAAGTCTTCTGGCTCCTAGAATCTAGCTAGAATCTAGCTGTGTTAACCTTACACAATAATTTTCCAGTGAAACGCGATGGCGCCTCTTCGAGCTCTGTCTGAGTTTCGGGCGTGGGAGCACAGCCACCGCTCTTGTCACGCAGAGCGTTCCGGGCTGTAGCACTGGCCGGCCAAGACCTAAGAGACAGACCGACTGAAGTGGCACTTGCACAGCGCCCACTGCCTGTCGAGGGACCAGCGACCGGGTACCTTGGGTGCTGGACACGCAGGCACCCCGCAAGGCTCCTCCGCCGCAGCATCCTGTGCAGCTGGCGGCTTCCTCCGGATTACCGAAGAATGGCTGCTCGAGATGGACTCGCGCTGGCTTCTTCCTTTTCGTCTTCCCTATCTGTAGGCTGCTGCTGGAATCAAACGAATTGCTCCTCACTTTCCTACTGCTGTCCTGGTTTCCCTATAAGGTTTAGGCACCAACCCAGGACCCCAGAATCAGCCAGGGCATACACACAGAACCGACATGACAGGGTTCAATTGAATTAATTAAGCGAACGGAATCCAGTTCAGGGATTCAGGGATGGGCTGACTTCCACCCTCTGCTGAATCTTGCGTGCTTCCTCCTCAGGGTTTTGGGGGTCCGCCTTCTCAGGGCTAAGGCTTCTCCCCAAGCTTTCAGGCCATCAACCAGTGCAGGAGTTGCCCTTCAGCCCAAGGGCACCTCCTGAATAAACACAGATGAGACTCTCTAAATCCCCCGAACTGTAGGGTTTAATCCTAGGGTTATAAAATGAGCTCTGGAGCAATTACCATGTTCGGCTCCTTAGGTTGTTGCCGCCGCTAGGAGCTTGGGTTTAAGATAAGTTCGTGGATCATAGTGCTCCAGGGCTCCATCAACGACAACACCCAACACCAGGCAAACCACCCGGTGACGGCCTCAGGTCTTCCAACGTCGAGTTCAATTGCGAATTGCGCGGCTCCGAGAACTATTTCGACGGGTAGCTACCTTGATCAGTGCCAACATCTCACGCGAGTGCGCAGACAACCATTCCCAGTGATTAGATGTCGGCCGTGCAGGTACAGATGACTCCCCTCATGGACGGAAAGCGGCCTTGCACCGCCG